GTGAGGGCAACTAAAGCTTCACCCTGCCGTCCTCATCTTGCAAGTTGCTAGTTATTAATCCATTTTAAATGTGGCAATGCTACACCATACAATAACGGTTTTTACAAAAGTAATTTGTGGTTCATCTTATCAAAAGCTCGTTATAAATCAAAATGAATAATATTAACTTGCTTCCAAGAGAGAACAAATGGCACTGTGTATTCAAGCTTACAAAATCCAATTTTTACTGAGCAACTTTCTAAAAAAAATTGCGTTCAATGGTGCTCTGTTCAAAACTGGAGTAAAAAGACCCATGTCTGTGTATAACTATCTCAAACACTTTCAAACGAACATACAGAAAGGAAATGGGGCAGTGATTGTCTACCCTAGACATGTCACCCACCTCCTACACACCAACTCATGTTTAAAAACAAACCAGAGTGCCCCTAACGGACGCCGCGCGGTGGTTGGTAGGCAAGAAGCTCGCCGTCGCCCATAATCAAACCATTGAATTGCGCTGTTGTCGGCGTCGGTGTGAGACCCCGTGCTCTTTTTCCATTGGAATTGTTTATTCTACGTCCTCCTAACGATGTCGACTACTTGAGCGGCTTCAGCAAAATTAATGAGGCTCGTTGCACCGCAAAACTGCATAAATAATGCGACGTGCGGCGATTCATTTCACGTGGACGCCGCAGAATGAGCGCAAAAGCCCGACTCCCACGATGAGTCATCTCGCTATTTTCAGTCGCGACGTCGCTTGGGCTGTAAAAGCGTGGACCGTAGCTGAGATGGTGGACGTCAATATTGAAAACGGCAAGTAGAATCGGGCATTACAAGTCGGTGACGGCCGCTGGTAGCAATGATCAATATCTTCTATCTACTTACACTTGGCCTACTTACCCCAACCAACCCTCAAAAGTGTTTTGAGGCCTGCACTTACTTCTTATCACAATTACCAGGTCAAAACTTGGTTTACGGGCAGCTGTCGTTTGAAAGAGCCGACGACAGTTCGAACGGATGCGCAATGGAGTGCAGGCAAGAAGCACCGCGTCCCGTGTCAACAAACCATTGGAATGTCGCGTCAGCTTCTGTGTGAGTTTGCATACTCTTTTTCGTGTTGGAATTGTCAATTCTACGTCCTCATAACAATGCCTTACCACTTTAATCGCCTGAGCGAAATTATCAAGGTTTGTTACGACGCTGAACTTTGCGTAAATAATTTGACGTGCAGAGATTCATTCGCATGAACGCCGTAGAATGGACGCCGAAACCATGATGAGATTCTTCTAGCTATTTTTGGTCGCAACGTTCGTGCTGCAAACGTGTAAAAGGTAGCGGCGATGATCGACGTCAATACTGAAAATAGGAAGCTGGAACACAGCAAGCGTAACAAGTCGGCGATGGCCACTGGTACCAATGATCAACATCTTTTATCTACTGTTTTCACCGAGCCAACTTAAATCTTTTGAGGCTTGCAATTACTTCTTATTACAATCACCGGGTCAAAGTTTGGTCTGCGGGCCGCTTTTGTTTGAACGAGCAGACGACAAAAAAGTGAAAGCCGTTTACAACTAACTCTTTGTAACGCCGAATTAGAGCGCAGCTCTTGAGGAGGAGGGAAGGGTACTGGGGGCGGGGGGGGTGATGATGACGATGCCGGTGACGTCATCACTGATGATGGCGTCATCACATCGTCATCAGCGATGACGACGATGCGGATGCCGGTGACGTCATTGGGGGGGTCACGTGACCCTGGGGGAGGGGTCATGTGACCTTAGAATGACCTTGGGGGGCCACGTGACCTTGGTTACGCCGACGCCGCTCAAGCCGGGAACGGGCCCCTAAGAGCTGCGCTCTAAAAGCAGACAAGTTTGAACGATCAGGTGGCCGTGTGAATTTGAAGACTCGCTGAACCCCCGGGTGGTCCGGACAACTTGGCGGTTTTCTCTCGTTCATGTTGGAACACAACTACATCTGTAGCACAAAGTGTTGCCAGCATAAGCAATCGTAGTTCGACAGCGTCTGGTTAGCCCTTGTCACGAATACTATCCACGTTTTTGGACAAATGGAGGGGCAGAAACACATGAAAACTGATCTTCAAACCTTTCCAGAGTCTCTTGGTACAGTTCCGTCGCAGCATTTTGACGAGAAGGCAGGTTTTTTGTCTGGTTTCTCCCAAAAGAACGCAGGAATGCATGTCTCGCACCGCGACTTCTGCCCACCACCCCAGACCCGAAGTGTGCCCGACGCGCCACCACCGTGGCGTGACGTAGGAGAGCTGAGTTCATGTATACCGGTACTACAGTAGACTTTCTCCACAACGATGGAAGAGCATGATTCCTTAGGTGATATGCATGCTTCAATAATGGGGCAAACAAATCAGTGCTGCCCTTAACAATAAAACAAGATATAAAATCTGCACCCAAGAACAGCCTCGCTTTAATTTCTTTATTGCTTTTAACATTTCGGTGTCAACTTCCTTGATTGCTGAAATGTTCCTCAATATTACTGAAAAAAAGATGTGCTTGCATTGATGAAAGTGTGAATGTTGTGAACACATTCCTCAGCAAACAGCAGATCTCCAACAATATCTGGACCTGCTTGGCAATGGTAGCAATGTGTGTACAAATGTTCTTAGATCTAGGTCAGTTCACACACTTGGAAAATGCCCGACACCCTTTTGCGGCACATCCGCTCAATGGCATCTGCTACACTATCAGCTCGTCCTATGGACAGATCCGGTAGAACGTTGGATGCACATTACCTGCGGTGGAAAGTGGTTTTATTGTGGTTCTTATAGTAAACATAAGGTCTGCACAATACTTAACGCAAAAAGAGCATTCAAAAAATGTGTTTTTGCTGACCGTGGAGGCATTGACGCTGTGGCGCTAAGAACATTATCCACCCTTACCTGCTTGCATGCCGGCAACAGAAAACTGTTTTTGAATGCTGCTTTTCCGTGGAGCTTGTCAACTGATAGATCCAAGAACGTTGGCATGTATGGCCCAAGGGGAGGCATCTATTTTCCAAAGCACCGGTTTAGAAACCCCCATTTTATTGAATCCTTTCAAAAAGACGCCCAGTTTAGAGAAAACGGCAACGAACCTCCTTTCAGCAAATTTATTTTTAAGAAAACAATTCACCGAACTCCACTGCTTGCTCCAGCATTCGCTTGTTCTGTCTTCGCTGACGGTGAAGCTGAGCCAGTCAGCGAGTCGCTCGCTTGGGCGGCCAGCATATTCAGAGTATGATGGACACGTTTTCGTGCATGTCACTACCCTGCTGTTTTCGAAAATAGTACTTTTACGTTCTGTTTGTTTCACAACTTAAATCATGCCTCAGTGAATCATGCGCTAGCCTTTAGGTGCTTCCAGATTTGCTTATCTTAATTCAATCGAAGGGATTCACTAAACTGCGACCCTTTTTCAATAAATGCTGCTGTAAACTGAGCTTCGATAAAATGTGCCAGTCCTCGAAAACACGCTTCTATGATATGGTGTTCGGTCAACTGCCATAGACCCCTGCACGAGTGCAACTGAGCAGCAGTTGTAGGTACAGCACATTCTATTAGCATAAAATAAAGGCACACAGTCAAACAAAGCACCTCAGTGATGCCTAGGAGATCAGCGAACACAGAAATATTTTACACTGAGTACTATTCAGTTTCATATCTCTTAACATTACCGTCCCGCTTCGGCTAGTCCCTAGATTGTTGACAGCTGCCCCGGCGAGGATGCTTTCCGGACATTCGAAAATAAAACATCTCAGCACAGGTGCTATCCACCGTTTAACCACGTGTTCTTTACGAACATAACTCGGCTTCCAAACGATATTATAGAACGCCGTAAGTTAATATTTTCAAAACAGTAAAAGCGTATCTTGCAATTGCGCAGCATAAAAAGAAGTGCAGGTAGAGCGGATCCGTATCACATGAGCGAATTGCATTTTAGCGAACAGCGACATTGGTCACTTCCTACGTATCCGGATTCATACATAACCAGACTGTCGTTAGCAAAATTGTAGGTACTGAAAACAGGGAAATGAACGAGTGTGTGATGGGTTGGTAAGGGAAAGAAACGTGGACAAAAGGCAAACAAGCAATTTTGGAGACGACGACCCACCGAGCTAATGCTCTGTACGAATCTAAACCTCAAATACTACTTTCAGTACAAATACAAGATACCCACAATATTACGCGATAAATAGCCACCAAAATTAACGTACCAATTGGGCAGTGCTGTTCGTAAATCACGTAAATCGCCGAAATCACAGGACGTTCACGAAAGACGAAACGGAACGGCCATCTTGAAAAAATAAAAACAGTGATGGTGATAGCGATGTGTATTCTGTAAAAACTCTGAGGACAAATGCACTCAATGTTTTTTTTTTCCCTGATTTTTCTTCAGATTTATGTATGGCAATTGCAAAAACTTTGGAAAACTTACTTCCCCTAGCAAGACCTCGTGAAAATAATGGTAAATAATGGTAATAGACGTTTTGAAATACACTTGGCAATGTCCACGTGGAGCGAGTTTTTCTTTTGCATGGGTTGTGGCAATGCAAGAATGCCAACCTCCGATTTAAGGATAGACCTCAAAGCAGCTAAACCTGTGATTAAGGATAGTGGATGGACCTTTAAGCAGCTAGCATCGTTTACCCACCATCTTTCAATCAGAGCTCCACATTTCGACGTAACCACAAGCAGACGAACCTGCGCTCCACATGAACCTTTTCTCAGTAATTAATTGCAAAAAAAACACAGACTTGGGAACTTTTCTTGCTAAAAGCCTTTCCTTAAAAGTGTGAATGGTCAAAAGCCAATGCTACGAAAGGCTGAAATACTTCGGATATAGCATGTTAAGGTGGCAAGAAAAATTAAACAGGGATATCCATCTTCTTTCCATCAAACTTTTCGGAGCTTCATCTTTTTAATAATTACCTCCTCACATGTTTCACAGTAATCTGTGGCATGGATTTACCACACTCCTTTTGTGAAGTGTAGCAAGAGGTATACACCGTCATCAGAAAAATATACAATTTATTTATGACAGGGAGCCACGAGAGGGGAAGATGGCAAGACCCGATCCACCAAAAAGGAGAGGGCATAAGAGTGAGGTCTTGCAAGGCTTGGTCCGTGATTCAGGACGGTTTGAAACCTATGATGAATGAAGAGAACAAGGGAGTCCATCAGGTCAACAGCAACAATATCTGACCCAAACATGCAAGGCAATGAACAGCAGGGGCGAATTTGTCAGGCTGGTTGGAGTGGGGGTCGGTGGGAGGGGGGGGGCGGTTTGCAAGATGATATCACGGGCAAAATGTTGCCCAGGTGTGTTTTGTTGACCTAATATTTGTTATGTCACCAAAAACTAATAATTTCTTCCTAAGAAAAGCTGGAGTATGTTGATTTTTCATTAAGAAGTTAACCTCAAGGGGGGGGGGGGGGAATGTGACTCCCCCCCACAAAAAAAAATCTGCACATGATGCAGAGCACTTGAGTATACACCAAGAAACTGAGGGAGAGGAGGAGACGAGAGCATGTGGGGACGTCAGAATACAGAGCTCTGGTTGGAATGATTAGAGGGTCGACCTAGCTGCCTTTGTATCCACTGCAGTCATCAAAGGCGTTTGAATGTGAAAGCCATACCCTGGACACCAGCGTTCCGCGTTCTAACGTGTTCGAATGAGAGAACAAAACGCTGGATGCCGGCGTTCCATCTTCAAATGTGTTCGACGAGTGCAGCAGAGACAGAAGCTATCTTTGTCTCCACTGCACTCGTCGAACGCATTCAAATGCAAAAACCAAAAGCCAGACACCGTCGTTCCGCATGTGCAGAACAGACAAAGGCAGCTAGCTTTAGGTCTACCCACTAATCGTTCCAATCAGAGCTCTGCGTTCTGACGTCCCCGCACTCTTGTCTCCTTCTCTCCCTCAGTTTTTCGGCACAGAGTTCTGGGAGTTTAACAATGGCTAGCGAAAAATCCAACAGACAGCACCACATCCACAAAAAAATAGCTTTCTTTGGCATTTCCCAAAGGTGTTCTAAATTGCATAGCATTCATAGGATCTCTTCGCACCCTACCCGTCGCCCGGAGTCCACTTCAGGACTCCGGGCAACGTCCACTCGAAGGAGGGACCGTCCCGTGTGATCTGGCTGGTCCCTTGAAAACGGGAAACGTGTAGGGAAGTGTGAGAGTAGGCCAGAAGGGTGGCATACTCTCCCCGACATGATACAGAACGAGCAGGCTCGAAGCCAGGCGACTCCGGCCGGAATGTCTGCAGCTTACACCTTCTCAGGGGAGGGAAACCAGTGGCTCCCGCAAGTCACTCGGTTTTTCTCTAATGATCTTGTCAAGACTTCTTCAATACCCGTATCAAATAAAAGCGGTCATGACCGAAAACGTTACCCGAGAGATGTCCTTTGTAATGGAAGCACCCGACGAAATCGGTGACGAAATGGCGTGTTTTGATGTACGGACCCGAGAGAACGGGTCAAGCGGAGGGCTGAACATGGACGCTGAAGTTCAGGCTCACGAGGTTCAAGAACTGGACGAGTTGATTCGGTCCTACGGTGATGTCTTCGACGATAGGCCAGGTAGAACCACGAGATCCCAAAGAGCGCCGACCCGATTGCGTCGAAAGCGTACAGGGTTCTGTACAGTATCAAGGTGGGGGTACAGGAACAACTGATGGAAATGCTGGAAATGGTGCATCATACGGACATCGACAAGTCCGTGGGCATCCCCGATAGTATGCGTGAAGAAAGACAACAGCATGAGGATCTGTGTCGACTTCAGGAAGCTGAACGCGACAACACAGGATGCCTACCCCATGCCTTCACTCCCTGAGATGATTGAGACTGTGGGGAGAGCCAAAATAATCGGCACCCTTGACATGTCCCAAGGCCACTGGCAAATCGGTTTATCAGAGGAAGCTTTTTTTAAGACAGCATTCCGTACGGACACCGGCTTGTACGAATTTACGGTGATGCCGTTCGGACTGAAAGGAGCACTGGCGACATTCCAAAGGTTGGTGGACGACCTCCTGAAAGAGCACCGAGACTTCGCTCGGGCATACTTAGATGACATAGCGGTGTTCAGCAACACGTGGCAGGTGTTCAGCAACACCTGCTTCATTTGTGCACCATCCTAAAGAAGTTGCGTCAGGAAGGCCTGGCTCTAAAAAATAAACAAGTGCCAGTTTGGGAGGTGGGAAGTGCACTACCTGGGGCACGTGATTAGGGATGGGCAAGCACAACCTGACCCTGAAAAGATTGAGACCATCCAGGCGATCGAGAGGCCCCACACGAAGACAGAAGTCCGTTCCTTCTTGGACCTAGTTAACTTCTACCAAAATTTCATTGAAAACTTCGTGGAGCTGGCCGCACCGCTGACCGACCTCCCACATAAGGCTGAACCTAAGCAAGTAGTGTGGACGCTGTCATGCGAGAGCGCATTCAGCGCACTGAAGGAGAGAATATGCAGCAGTCCAGTGCTGCGGAGCCCAGACCCGAGTCGACCCTATATACTCCAAGTAGACGCTAGCAACAGGGTGATCGGGGCCATTCTAGCTCAAACTAGCGAGGGCGTCAAGCACCCCGTTGCGTACGCCAGCCGTAAGCTACTTCTTTGTGAGAAGAAGTATGCAACAATTGAGAAGTGTCTGGCAATTGTGTGGGCCATGAAACATTTTCATGTGTATGTTGATGGACAAAATGTCACAGTCCAGTCGGACCACAACGCGCTCCGATGGCTAAACAACAGCAGGCAGAACAATGACCGTCTACAAAGTTGGAGCCTGTTGCTGCAGGCCTACCAGATTAAGATAGACTACAAACGGGGTTGCTTGCATTCGAATGCGGACGCCTTGTCGCGTATCTATGGGCACTATGATCAGAATGTAGTGCCCTGCCAAGGCTTGCGATCTGCTTCTCCACTGAACATGTAGTCGCAAAGATTTTTCTTTTATTTTTACAAACCTAAACATTGAGAATGTGAAAAAAAAAAAAAAAAGAAAGTTTATTGTATTCAGAGCATTTCACTTGTGCGTGTCTGCTTCGGATGCTTAGTTTTATAAAGCAGTATTACAGGAGGAGTTGCACTGTGCAATGAAAACAATGGGCGTTTCGTGAGCAGAGGCTCGCAAATCTTGTATTTTTATGTTATCATTTCGGTTAAAGGGGCGTGTTGCGTAATTTTGTATCTTTTTGCCTTCATCGGGGGTTCGAGCATCTTTACTACACCTTGCGTGCCCCCTCCCGGGGTCGATGGGCCCCAAGTGGAGGCGCCAACGTGAACATTATAACCTTACACCTGTTTATATAGAACTCCGCATATAACTTCTTTGCCTACAAAGCTACTTTGTATTATTTTAGCTGCCCTTGACGCACATTGTGCCGCATTATGCCGTTGATGGCATGTCCCATCCCGTGTTGTCGACCTTTCGAGGTTGTACGGGGAATCGGCTATTGTAAACATGAGAGGTATATTAAGGACTTGTAAATGCGTTTGTAGGGGTCTATGATTGGAATGTTTACAGAGTCGGCGGCGGAGGGCCGTTTTGTTTTGGATAGCGCCAACTGAACTCATTTATTATTTTGCTTGTCGGGATATGTGTAGCCCTACCACAGGGACGAGAATGCATGTTAGAGGGAGAGAGTGAAAGAGAGAGACGAGGGTAGCTATGTTGGGAGCGGGAGAGTTGAGAAGGGGGAGTTGACTGAGAGACTTGAGAGGAGACACATCGAGAGCGATGCAGCAGGAGTTGAGATAAAAGGCCCATCAAGAGTGATGCGGAAAAAAATCAAGTGGATAAAGTGCAGGGGTGTCACTTAGAGAGTTAGACGGCAGAGGCCATTGAGTTTTGAGAACTAGCGAACTCTAACTATGCTGTAATTTTTGTGTATAACACCTGTATATTAAGCCAAGTTATTCAACCCTAAGTCTATGATCCCGACATCACTAAAACCCTTGACTGGCAATCGGCAACAACGCCGTCAGCACAGACCCGAAGACGAGCGACTTCATGTCACGAGACGAGACGAGATGAATATAAACTTTACAGACCAGATAAAAGTGAGTGACGCATTGGCTAACATTGCGTCTTGGTGTCATGAAAATAACATGAAGATATTAATATTAGCAAAACTCAGTACATGCATATTACAACAAAAAGAACTATCTTAAATTTTAGCTATGAGGTTGCTGGCATAGGATTGACTGAAGTAGACAGTTACAAATATTTGGGAGTGATTTTGTCTTGTGACCTTGGGTGGAAAAGGCATGTACAGTATGTTAAGAAGCGGGCAACTAACAAATTGTGGTACGTGAGGGGAACGCTGGGTAAATCTCCCCCTTCCGTTGAAATTCTTGCTTATAAGACAATTATTAGACCTGTGTTAGAATATGTGTCTGGAGTGTGGAGCCCATGGCAGAGCTCTCTGGTCAGTGAACTCGAAGATATTCAATTGCTAGCAGTGCATATAGTTTTTTCAGATTTCAGACAAACTATGTCTGTGACCGAACGTAAAAGGAGAGCCAATATAAGCCCGCTGTCAAACAGAAGAGAGAGCCAACGTTTGAAGCTGTTCTTTCAGATTTTCAAGAGTAGTATAAAAATTGATAGCGTGATTTACCTAAAAACAAAAAGTTTTTACTCGGACCGCTTGCATCACTCACAGACCGTAGCCCCTATTAAAGCTCGAATAAATAGCTATAAACAATCTTTTTTTTGTGCATACAATTGATTTTTGGAACAGCCTTCCCGGTGATGTTATCGATATTGATTCACTTTCTTCTTTCGGAAGAGCCGTAGATATTATTTTTCAGTGCTAAGATTGCATTTATTGCTGTTATGACATTATTTTTACTGTCTTTATTTTATTAGTTATTACTGCTGTTACATTTACTGCTACTGTTATTACTAGCCTTACATTTGGTTACTGTATTACTGTTGATATTGATTGATTTTCTTCTTTCGATTAAGTCGTAGATATTTTTCAGTGCTAAGATTGCTTTTTGTTTAGAACTGTTGTGTTTATAATTTGCAGGTATGACACTGTATCACCCCACTCCTGCCTTGGCCCAATATTGGGCCGGCAGTATTGATAAATAAATAAATAAAATAAAAAAGTGTGTGGCAACAAACTGAAAGAAAACTTGAAAATGAAGCACAGGTTGTCGATTGCTTGCTTCACAGAATAAATAGCCCAGCTCGCGTCCGATTTTGCTGCCCGTGGGACGCAGTTTCTTAGCAGAAAATCCCCTTTTTTTTCGGTTCTCGTTCCTTATGGCGGAAAAACCCCAGTCGTCTGCTCTTGTTCCTCTCCCGAGTGATGCATGACGGGAGTGCATTCTGGTGCACACTTGATTCTCAAGGTGCAGCGAGTGCATAGACGTGTGGAGTGGCGACGCCGAAATGAACGCGTGGAGTGTCGGCCGAAACAAACATGCTCCATGTTGCGAGTGGGTACGCATGGGCACGAGTGCCCATGCATACATGTAGTCATACACTGTGCACGAGCATGTGGCTTCGACTTTTATCTTGTTTGCGTGCAGAAGTGGCTTCAACGGCATTGCAGAAATTACACTAGCCTTGACAATGAAGTACAAAAAGGTTTACGCCAAGTCTAGACACTGTTGCAAGATCACCGAGCCAGGAAACCTAAACCGAGCCACCACTAAATGTGTTCCGTTTCAAAATGGTGTAATTGGCAAGACTGAACCGCCACCAAATGTGCTCTGCAGTAGAGCACAAAAGTACATCACCAGACATGAGTGTCCAAAATGTACTTACAATGGCTAGCGGCGCCTCATAAAAGTCATGCAATGACCCTCTGCTTGGCCACTTAAGCCACACGCAGTGCCGTGCAGGGTACAGGACGGCATCCATGGTGCAGTGATCCAGGGTCCCGCCCGTAGTGTTCCGCTGCTGCCTTGGACAAGGTGAAAGCCAGCTCACTGATGTCATGGTCCCCGGTACCTGTGGTGTGTAACCATTGTGTTTAAAGGTTATACAGCCACCGACCGATATTGCAGACCCGATGAGGATCGTGCAGAATTCCGAATAATTGAGCAGTATGAAAAAATGATTTTAGCCTAAAAATCACTTTATTATTACGACTTAAAACGCAAAGTTGCTGCAGCAAGTGATCGATGGTTTGCTGTACGGCATGGTACTGTATGGTACTTCGCATTTCAGCGAGTCATTTTGTCACTGTATACAGACGAAAGCATTCGGACAAGTTACGCGCTCACGGCTGCACAATGCTCGCCAACTGTAGGGCCAGTCGGTAGACTTTCCCCTCGGTGAAGGGCAAAGTCCGGTTTGTAAACGCTGTGCCGCTGGAATAAATGCGCAGATTGATCGCTACTTCCTTGGCGATACAATCGCTGCCTTCTCACGTCGACAAACGGGAAATACCGCAAACAAAAGCAGACGCCGTCATGACTTTGCAAAGTAAAACCGGAGAGGCCAAGAGCAGAAGAATTGCTTAGAGTGCTGACGTGCTACGAGGCATCAGCAACCAAAACCTGCCATTTAAAAAAAATATATACTAGTTTCTTAGCAGCACGTGACGTCACGACAACTGACAGCAGTGATTGGCAGGCGGTGTGCATTCTTGCCACTGAATTCATAACCTGTCACCGAATGTAGTTTTTAAACATGGCAGATATAATCTGGCCTGTTTTCGTCCACAATGCTGCCGCCTAGTCTGTCGCATAAATTATTTTTGTTGCTAAGGGGCAATTGGGGCTTTACGTAAACATAGGCTGGACGTGCGTGTGGGAAAAATAACACGAATGACGGCCCCCAACATTGGCTCTTCAAACAAACTGCCAGAAAACAAAAAGGCCAATATGTCAACATTTTTGTCCTTTCCCCATTTTTGGTGGCTGTCGTGTCAGATTGAAGTATAAGTAACTAGTAAAATAAAAATAAATAAAAAAGTACATAACAAAAGGTGTAAATAAACTCTGTAGATATAATACCAGTCCCAATGGTTTAACAAAGAGGCTGGCTTTCTCAGAATGCCCCCCTCTCACTCGAGTCCGTATTGAATCTTGATATGAAGTTGCCCCGAAAAAGCTGCAGAAAATGCACACAGTGACAGAGCCCATAAAGACCACACCTGCCTTTCACATGGCCTTTCGAACTAGATGCAGTACAGGACGCAGAACGGTACCCATGGGCTAGCTGCAGCTGTAGCCCAGTGCTTGTAGTATCTCGCAGCTGATGGAAGGGAGGAAGGCCAGCTCCTTCATGCCGTGGTACCGGGAAAAACAATACAGATGAGCCACAGACGTCAAGCGCCTCGAGTATTTCTGTGCATCCACGAAGCCAATCTGGGACAGCAACGACAGAAAACTTCAGTAACACAGTGAACAAAAGAGTAGGCATGCAGGCGAGCTGTAAATTCTGAACACAGCTAAAACCCAAGGCACAAGAAAGCAGAAAGCAAGAGGCCTTTCCACTTCCTTGCATGTCGGGTTTGAGTCTCGCACGGGGTAGCAAAAAAGCAACAATACTGGCTCCCTAGTCTTTTTCTGCATCAAGAAGCCTTGGAACAAAGAAATCCTACTGGTTATTCATCTTGTTTTCTCTTCTCGGGCGGATTATAGTGCACGGTGCGGAAGCAAACTGCCTAGAAAGGGCTCAACTCACACTTCCAAGAAAATGATTGGCGAGCAACCTCTCCATTGTGTGCTATGTGCACTGTACGTTTTAAGCAGGTCTGTTTTCTGCTAACACAACAGCGGTAGGAATGTTACTTGTGTCGAGCTGGAGAAGCCATAGTGGGGGCTACCCCAGCTACGCCCACGCTGGCTCTAATGGCGGTTATGTGCAACGCAGACAGCTTTCCCCATTTCAACCGAGTGCCTAGGCAGACACAGAAGCAGCCACATAAGACGATCGAGGGAAGACGCAGAGTTGTACAGGCGAAGAGGGAACGACATAGTGTAGCGAGCTTTTTAGTCCAGGCTATTCCTCCGAGAAATGCAGTCGGTGGAAATGTATGTCAGTTGTTCTTGCCATTAATTTAGGTAACGAATGCAAACATTATACTATTTTGCATCTTTTTCTACTGCAATGCTGGTCACCCGCAACGAAAAAACGCCACAAACTGAAAGAAAGTCTGGTTGCAATGTTAACACGGACACCAAGTCCACCAGGAAAAGCCATCTGTGCCATCCACCTGTTCATAAGCGAGCTGGAGTTTATCAAAGCACAACCGAGACTCTCTCGGGAGTATTTGGTTCCTTGTCACTAGTTATTGAATGAAAACACAGTGCAGTGTTGATTACTGTCAGCGCAGTCTTGCCACTAGCACTGCTGTCACTCGGGTGGCACATATTTCGCTGGCACGACATGGCCTGCGAGCCACATATATCCCTAAAAGGAAGCTGCATAGAATGCACTTACCGTGGCTAGCGTCGCCGCCCAGAGAGCTTGCACAAAACCTCCGCATGACACGCAGTGCAGTTCAGAACAGAGCAGCACTGGCTAGCCAGTTGCTGCGAAGGCTTGCAGTGCCTTGCTGCTGCAAGTCACCTCCTTCATGCCTTGTGGTACCCATCAGTTTCAAAACAAACGCTGATGAACCACGACCAGGCATCACCTGTAGCACAAGGGGGAAAAACATATGAATGTGCAGTCTCCTATCTGTTTGCTTTTGTCTAACGTCTCTGAGTTTTCTTTGAGAAGAAAACAGCAATGACACTTCTTTCACAGTAATGTGCAAAAGAAACAAAAACGGCTCGGTTATTATACTGCCTCGTAAGTTGTGTGCAGCAAAGGCACGGGTGCGAGGGCACAGCTCTGCAGAATGTCCTTTTGCGCGGGTACTCGTGCAAAAGAGGCGCTTTTTACTGTCATGTGCTCGGGCCTGCGCCTCTGCTGCACACAACTTATGATACAGAGTGTATAGCACGCCTCCGTGAGCACTCGCGTACGGCGAGAAATCCATGATACCCAGGGTACGATAGCAGGAAACCTCGCAAGGGTGCACGAGGCTGCAAGTGCGCCAGAATGTGCAACTGGAGGTGGTGACAGAATGACATAGTTTGAGAACATGAGTTTACTTGGGTCAAAATATAGAAGCGAAAAACGTAACTTCCTTGCCGGCTGATGTTTGGAGCCATCGGAGCACGATCAACTATTTGTTGTGATCGGGGTATTACGATCGGACGCGGGTTGATAAAGATTTGAAAAACCCGGAAGAATAAAACCTGTTGGGGGCGAAGACAGACAGCGCAGTTCCGTGTTGACATGGGATGTAATATCAAACACATTATTCCGCCGGATCAAACGTTTTTGTTTAATCAGGCTTAGCTCGGAAGTCTGCCGGCAGGTCTGGGATGCGGTTTTTAGAGCTCTTTTGGCGGGCTTTCAGGTTTCTGCGATGCGTGTTTTCATCGTGAGCACAGGCTCAAACAATAGGCAGCGGCGCCAAATGTATTTGAAACGAAGAAGCAGCTCGGACACGTGGAACGAACACATCGAAATCACATCACAGGAAAACGCAAATCACTCACCTTTTGTTCGACGATGGTTCGCAAGACACGATTCAAATCGACGACACTCGATTCGGTCACGATATTCAGGTAAAGGACGCAACAACGTAGGCCTTGCCGTTCCTAATAACTACATAAATACGACGATACGACACGATATAAACAAAGGAGTCGGAAAAACGCAATCTGAATTCTGAAGCGCAGAAACGCGGTCCCACGGTTGCAAAAAGCAAGGAAATAAACAAAATAAAAAAAAAAATAATACGTCAACAAAGTAAAAATAAGAAAAAGTTTCCTCGCTAAAAACCGTGACGTCACAGAAAACAAAACAAACAAAAACAAGCAAAACAAAATTTCTTTGTCACGTGACGTTATATTTGTGACGTCACTTCCGGTGACGTCGAGTCACGTGACCTGCCATTATTCCTCCTCCGAATCGCTCGTCTCAAAACCGGTCCGCCGGAACGCCGGCGCTGGCTCCTTTCCCCCTCGCTTTGGGTCGCCATGGCAACAGCAGGGAGGGGTGAAAGGAAGGGGACTCTCAGGTCTCCGCAATTTTTGACGTCAAGGCACCGGCGCCGATCGCGCGGGAACTTCGAATTCGGCATTTGGAAATTGTTTTTTTACTTCACGAATACTGAATTCCCAAATTTCAAATTTTGAGGGTAATGTCCCGGCATCGTTTTCAATCGTTTCGGATAATAAAAAAAAATATGATTTTGATGTGTCAGTGCCCCTTTAATGGCGAGTTTTCTTTACACAGCCACGGACAAATTTTTTCCCAGGTCCTAGCGCATAACAGCTTCGCTGTAAACTCCGTTCACCCATAATCCGAGACTGTGGCCAAAGCTACAATCGCGAGCGAGTGCGCGCTCGGCTTCGAGAAGCGCATATCTAGTGCAAGTGCTCCGTCTGTGGGAGAACGTTTCAAAGCAGTGACCTCGTGCTCGCTCATTGCATCGACTGCAGTCTGCTTAAAGGTACCCTGAAAAGAAAAAAATGTATTTTTAAACATTCTGATTGGGACAAGCATGTGAAAAACTATGGGGGGAAAAAAATTGATTTTTTTCAGCAATATTGACGTTATTTGGTTGGTAGTCACCACGTAGTCACCCTCTTTTCCACTTGTTTTCTCTCTGCATTTCGGGTGCATGGAGAAGGGGTGTATCGTGTGTATCGACGTTGGCCATCAAGTCGAGGTGGAGAGTGTTTTGGACCATCTTGTTGAGGAGAAAGAGGGCATGACCATTCCGTGACGTCGTGGACTTTGTGAGCAGAATTTAAAATAAATCTTGTGCCGTCTGTAGCTTCTTATTAATAAGAGGCTACAGACAATTATTAAAATCTTTTGGAGCAAGTCAAGAGTCTTGCTCCAAAAGATTTTTCAAGCATTGATAGTGTAAAATTAATTTCAACGCACGTCTCAACCAGACTGTTTAAAAAAGAACTTTTTTTTTCTTTTTTCAGGGTGAACAAAGCTGCCCATGCTGCCGCTCATGGGCAGTGGTGGCTATTTTAGAGTCATTTTGCAACAAGCGAGCGGAATGAAAGATAATTTTAGAAGACTGTTTCAATAAAGAAGTTCTGTACACAGTCAGATACCTGCGCTGACGAGAAACACTGCGTGACCACAATCATTGTGAAGCCGATTCGTGGTGGCTCCAGAATTTCAGTGACACTTCCTGGTTGCCAGACCCCCAACGATGGAAAGCACTGCTGTGCTTTGCAGACAAGTTTTGTTATAGAGACTGGTACTGCACATGGGGTATACAATGCTTGATCCAACTTTTCACTGCACCTACGACCCCTTTGACCTTTATATTCTCTGCATTTGTCAGAATGAGCCCCGAACATGTTTCAACCCTAGCTTAAACCAAACTTATTTCAGAAACTGGTAGATGCACGAAAAAAGTAGAGAAAGTTGTAGCCCATAATGTTTACGATGGTAAGTGCAACATGTCAACTGCTTCATTGCCATTGATGGGCCAAGGCTCAATTACGCAAGTCGTAGTTATTTGCGTTTATTAGAAGCAGCTTCAGCTTCTATATTTCCAAACATCCGTGCTAAGTATTTCTGGCAATTCTGCTCAAACAACCGCATGAAGTAGGAACACCCACACCATTGCAGACATTCTTTATTTGGCTCGGAAGCATCGTAAAGTGTCTCGGTTTCAGAAATAAAAAAAAAATGTGACACCTGCACATTGGAGCATCTGACACGCGTCTATGAAACGTAACGAGAAAAAAACGCCGAGTTGGCAGTTGTTTTTTTTTTTAGTCCAAGTAGGACATTGTTCCCGGACACGAAAGCGTCAGCGAACGAAGAAAAACTTTCAGCGTCGGTTCGGCACAAACTAAAAACTAATCTCCGGGCAGGGCTGTATCACTCACGTCGGTCCCTTTCGCAAGGAAAGATTTTATCACAAATCGCTTCGGCAGAGATGAACGATGCACGCCGAAAGAATCTGCAGAATTGCCTACTCGTCCGTAGTTTCGGACCGCATGCAACTTCATCCAACCCCACCATAAGCCAAGGAATTGCCACCTTCCTCTTACAACCAGTCAAAACATAAAAAAAAGAAAAAAATGGAGACTGTTTAAAAAAAACACTTAGGTTTCAGGTCGTTGCTCCCTTGATTGTCCGGCACTGAAGAGGCGCAGACAAGAGAAAACTTTCCCGGCACATACAAACAAAGACAAACTAGTTACACACAATCTGAGATTCAGCAGTGGGTATCAACGGGGGGGGGGAGTAGAAAATGACGAGGCCTCAAGAGTAGTTGTTTTGATGTCCTTGAGGAATGTGGTAAAGGGAGACCAATCACGACGGGGCAGTTGTAGAGCCCAAGCCTCCGGCTTACAAGTCGTTCATCTCGTACTTGAGTTCGACGAGGTTTTCGTTGATCCGTTCTATTGCTTCGTTTAACCTGGAATCCAACGACAGAAGTAAGAACGGGCACGCATCATTATGCTAATTCATTCGTTTCGTACACCTCAAAGGGCAACTCCGCTCAATTCCGAAGATTTCGAGATCACGAGCGATTTCGCATTAGAAAGCCCTAGTAAGTTGCCGATTTCGGCAACTTGGCGAGTTGCAAAATTAGCCGGGCCGTCTAAGAAACATTTAGACAGAACTAGGTCGTCATATTTGACGTGTGGTCTTCTTAGGCGATACTGAAGAGGGCTGCATTGTTTTTTCAAAAACAAAAACGAAGCAGAGTTGCCGACAGGGAGGAGTTTCGGTGAACCCGCCTCTACCGCAAACTTCCCACCTTTGGCAATGCACCGGTGCCTCGTAAGCCTCGAGCGTGCAACGGCAGCCAAAGCATGGTGGAAGGCAACCGGCATGTGCTGAAGGCAGAGCGTTGGGAAAAAGGCAAGTCTGTTTTGCATTGCTCGTAGGAGGGGTTTCTTCTGCAGTTCTTGTGTTTAAAAATTTTCCAAGGTCCTGCAGGAACTTAAAAGGACAGAGGACCTCCCTTGTTCCTGTGCACAGACGCACCCCACAATCTAGGCGAGCAAACAAAGGGTGGGCTGGCGACGAACGAGGGTTCTTGGCATGCCGCCATTGTGGTAGAGAGGATTTTCGATGCTTGGCAAAAAAAGGTGCAGAGGTAAGGAGTCCTCACCTGCGTTTCATGGACACTACGTCCGTCTGGTTGTTCTGCTCTTCCGGATTTTCAAGCAAGTTCTGTTTTGCCAGCTGCAGCTTGGCTGTCTGCGGGCAGACACAAAGGCTCTCATTACTTAGTCGCAAAAGGCGTACACTAGGATTGCACGAACACGGAACGTTCCATCGTTTCCATCTCGAGAAGCGTAATAAAAAAAGATTAGCTCATTGTGGAGCACTAAGCGTTTCTTGTTTCGTTCGTGTTTCAGTTCGCTCTTTCGACCTTTTCAATAATTCTTCCCTTAACATAGAGAATTAAGATATATGTGGGTGCATATTAGATTAGATATATGTTATCTTATCAAGACCTACACATTGCAAATGCCAAAAGCATAGCTTCTTCCTTTGACAACCAAATCTTGGGAGAACTACTTCACGCACTGTACGAGCAATGCGTAAAACTTCATTTTTTCTTGAGATGAAAATGATAGTCAAAAAGAAGCTGAAGCATACATTTAATATAGGGCTAAGGCAAATTTGTAAAAATACATTTAGAAATTTCAACTGGAGGCTTTGTAACCCGTCGATATAAATAGAGAAAACAAATTGAGTAGTCACGTGACAAATCTGGAATTTTCCACGCAAGAACTCGGAGTTTAAAAAGAAAAAAATCTATCGACTCATTTGGCCTATATTAATGATGGGTTAAAATACTCCAGTTGAAATATGCCAGCTAGAAAAAATATCTAAAAAGTATTAGGAAATTTTAGTTAATTAAGCCACCAATTGTTTCCTTCCACTTGAGCCCAAGCATCCGGCTCGTGCGATAACCCTATTCTGCAGAAACCATTTGTTTCGATTTCAGTGCCCTTTTTGTTTACGTTGCCTGCCTTGGAGAAAAAATAAAAAAAACCTGTACATGCACCTATTCAACTCTATAGTTAAATAGCGTAAGAAAATTTATGCGTGGATGCATGGACGGACAAATATATGGGAATAGGGGTCGGAGGTGCATTCCAGGCCACCGCTACTGGAGGTTTCTCAAAGTCAGTTGACAAGCTTCCTCGAAAGCCTAACACCTTTTCACGGCGCCAGTAGAACATTGCATGCACAATGCTTGCGGTGGAAAGTGATTCTATTGTGGTTTTCACAGAGAACACAAAGTCTGCGCAAAAAGGGCATCATTCAAAACGGTCCTTCTCTGTTGCTTGAGGCACCCTCACCAGCACCCGTACCTGCTTGCGTGCAGGCAACGGAGAAGGACCATTCTTGAACGACGCCGTCCGTGGAGCTTGCTAACCGACAGATACAAGAATGCTGTTCCAGGCACCATAGTAGGGGCTTCCATTAAAAACATGCTGTTCCAAAAAAGAAAAAAAAAAAAAAAAAACATTTTGCGGCCATGCAGCGGTGTCACTCTACGGGCTACGGCACCCACCAGTTCGAGCTTGACCTTCTCCTCTTCCTGCAGGGCCACCACAAAGTCTGCCAGGTGAGGGGCGGCACAGTCCATGCGCAGGCGGCGCTCGATGTCCATCACCCCCTCCGAGATGCGCTTGAACTCCTGGGTCACCTCCCGCACCAGCTCCCGGAACGTGGGGAAGTCGTAGTTGGGCGCCGTGCTCAGGTAGATCTTGTGGCCCCTAAGGTCGGGAAAGGAAAGACGCGCGCACGTCACGACACTTTGATCGACTTCATACTCCACCGAGCCCCGAAAAAACCCAGCTATATTCCGTTTCACATCAAGTCCATGCGCAGCTAGTGCTACGACCCGATGGAGACAATCAGGCAGCGCCTAAAGCGTTGTGCGTTCACTGCCACCGGCAGCAGGCGCGCAAAGACGACGAGTGCCCTGACCGTGCATTTTTTTTAGCTGCTTGACTGGCTCCGTCGGACCGCAACTTCAAGTGAAATGGAGTATTGCACGTTCAGAAGGTGACCATAGATCAAACAAATAGTCCTGCGTCTGCCTATCGCCGGTTGACAACGGTCCCGCCTGCACGTCCCGTGTGCAGACAGCAGGATGAATGGCAGGCAGCCGACTGAGAGGACTTAGCTCCCACAACCTGGTCAGCTTAGGGGTGAAAGCAGAACAGTCTATGGTTTTAATATCCCACTACAAAACATTGAGGAAGCTCTTCAAAAATGAATTAGTTATCCCATTTGGGGACAACGGGCCCCCTTTTGCCATTAAAATGCTGGAGAAAAATAATTCCAGAGTTTATTGCGGGCCCAATTTCCACCAGGAGCACCCTCGTGAAATGGGATTCGCGAAAAGCCAAGGTACCATCCCAATTTCGAGTTAGCCACAGTAGTAAGCACGACACACTGCGCTTGAAGCAACTTTTCAAGGCTTCATGCATTATGAGCGCGTGAACATGCGCCTAGAATAGACTGGCTCGTGTGAGCAGGAAGCGTTCATGTGGTATGGGCCAACATTAAATTGTTTTCCGGCTGGCTAACCAATAAGGAATTATACCTGCCGTCAAAACCATTTGGCACACTCATAAAAAAAAAAACAAGCTTCCAAGGCCAGAGATGACCTTGGCAATGAACATAGTAGCCTCCAATTGAAGTGTAGCTGCAAAGACATGCACAAAAATTTAGGAAAAAAAAAAGACTTTTTTTTTTTTTTAATTACTTTCTGTCCTTGTACAAAAAAAAAAGTTACTGAAACAAATTTACTAAAGAAAGTTATTTTCTCTCATATTCAGGAACCTTCCTCCAATAAAGCTACACAAAAAAAAAAGAAAAATAATTATTGTTATCACCCTACCTTTACCCCCCACACAAAAACACACGTACACGCACGCACGCACACGCACACACTTGTCTGGAAGAACAAAACTTCCTTATTGCTTCATCGCAAAAAAAAAAAAAAATTTCTCTCTGGGGCTCTTTGCATCTTCTTAATGGTAACGCCGGACCCGAGACTACTCTTCCTTACAAAACACCAACAGTTTCCAGGAAAAACAGAATTATAAACTGTATTGACTAGATACAAAATTGTCAGAAAGATCTAAAACTTTTAACCGAGGCTGGTATGTGCAAGCTCCTTGCAAAATTGCCACCATTAGAATGACCTAAATAGGCCAGCCAACTGAAGAAATGCCTAATAATCATGTTGTTCCCATCCTACAACCAGTGGCGTAGCCAGGAATTACTTTTTGAAGAGGGGGACTTAGCTGGCTAGTTGTCCATGACTTGAGAAGTTCTCTCCTGGCTACGCCACTGCCTACAACACTAAAATAGTGAAATGGGGATGCAAAAACATGCCAAAACCGACAACCATATGAATATTTGTCTGGCTCTGCACATCCAAGGTAAAAAACAAAAACGGACAAGATGGATTCCACACGTTGCTTCTTTTCAAGCAGCTGCAAAATCCGGAATGCTCCAGGCCTCGAAAAAATAAAATGAAACAATAACACGACAAGTACGCAACTACAGCTTTGCACTTTCTCCTGCACTGTTGCTACAGGCACCCCAGCCCCATTGTGAGTGCGTGGCGGAACAATCTCCTCCTTGCACAGTTGTTTTTCACAAGACTGCCAAATGCACCCCGCAGGCTCCCGCAGCTGTGCACTTGTAGCTTAGAACTCCTACGTTGTGGATGCAGAATGCTACAGCGAACCAAATCGGAGTTTAGCATATTCAAAAAATAAAAAGAGTGCCTAAAAAAACAATTAAAAAAACGACCGCATCTCCACGTGGTGAATGATGTTGATTGCGGCGAAGCTTCGGTGGTGCCGGAGCAGCTTGCTGTCTGCGTAGACGCCGAGCCGCAGCATGCCGAGCTTTTCGTTCGTTTTCATCCACGTCGGGAAGAGAATGTGTGGTATGGAACATGGTTATAAACGCATTTGAGCACTTGACCGCAGCGCCCTCTCGTCTATAAACGTTGAGCCAATGCATGCCAAGTTTAACGCGATTATATACGCATTTGACTGCAGCGCCCTTTCCTGTATAGACGTTGAGCGGCTACATGCAACGTTTCATCCATGACATCCCCAGCTCTTCATCTCCCTCCCAACATGCTGTTTCAAGCTCAAGGACTTCCCACCAACCTTTTGTATAGATTAGACAAGGAGGGTACCTGTAATCTGTATACAACTCGAAGAACATAATGGAGTTGGAAATAAGTATAACAAAAAGGAATATGCCAGACGATGCCACAAGCCTCGGCAGTGTCTTCAGACACATGTCTTATTGCCACCACCAAAAGCAAGCAAACCCAATCGACAAAAAGGGTGCTCATTTTTAGTCGAAAGACCACATGAAGAAATCAATGCAAATAGAGTTTGCCATAACGCTCCACCAAACGAAAGTCTTGGGCTTCAAAGCTTAGGATCACGTGTAAGACCAACATTAAGCCAGTCACATCTACTAAGATTATGTGATGCTGTCATTCAAAATCACCAGATGGTTAAAAAGAAAGAATAAACAGCTATGCAAAAATGTTCCTTAACACCTGTATCTACTAAGTAATAACCCATTTACTCTCAAGTCCGGTCCTGGGCATCCCATACTGCCGGCCATGTCGCCGTCATGATATGCTAAGAAAATAACTAGAAAAAAATAAAAACTAAGCGTAATGCTTAGCTGGAGTTGAGTTGCTCTTAAGTTGCACATCATTTTAAAGCAGAAGAGCACCAGTGGTGGAAAGTAGACTGTACTTAAAGTACTACTACCTCAAGCAAGTTTAGAGAACTTTTACTTTACTTGCAGTACATTCCCAGAGTATGTACTGGTACTTTACTTAAAGGTATATTTTTTCGGTATCTTCTGAATAAAGTACAACTCCCGACTTCAAACTACATTCCCCACATTTGGTCTTGTTGAGGTTGTATCACAAAATGATGCTTTGTGAACTCCAAAAAAAATACTGAGAGGGATATTCTATTCTGACCAGAAAGGCGAGCGGACGACGCATCACTCCGTTTGTACTAGAAGCGGTTTTTTCGCAGCCCCCCCCGTTTCGAACTCTCGCTACTTCTCGCTCAACCAGCACGAGTGAGGAGGTTACAAATATTAAAAGAGGAAGAGGATTGTTTGCAGAAGCTACGGGGCTGACGTCATTCTCTCTCTCCTAACCAGTGCAAGCGGTGCCAAATCCAGAACTCCGAGGGACTTGAGAATCGGGCACCATTTCCAAAATTTACTAGCTTGTGGCCAGTTGACTTTATTCAATACTCTCCGCCATTTATGAAAACGACTAAAAAAAAAACTGTACAGGGGAATGAAAGGGCACCCTGAAAGATTCTGATTAAAAATACTTTTACTTCACTTTGAAAGTACATTTTATTTATAGCACTTTACTTCAAGTATAAAGTGCCTGGTGTACTACTTTACTTGAAGTACATAGCCTCTCATTTACTTTGTACTTTACTCAAGTGCTTTTTAAATGTACCTTACCAAGCACTGAAAAACTCACAAGACAGGCTTCCAAGTCGACACTTTTTTCTGCTTGCATACTGCAACTAACACAACGGACCGTACGTCGCTATCTCTCAAATCTTCTGGGAGACTGGCCTTTGCAGCAGCATCAAAATGCAACGAGCAAACCAGACACTTTTCACACTCAGTCTATTGCTGTTTGAAGGTTAGAGATTTCTAACCCCAACTGAACCCGTTGGCAAGAGCTTCAAAAGATGCCCATAACAAGCATCACCTTGTGTTTAGAACTCTTTCTGGTAATTTGCAATTTAAAAGTAAAGATTGCCTCTATATATATATATATATATATATATATATATATATATATATATATATATATATGTTTATGGTTATATTAAAGCTTACTGTAAAAGAGACTGGACTCCAGACACAACTAGACTGATCGGTCAAAATAACCTTTTTTTTTTTTTTTTCAGTACAATGATTGTTGTGATGAAGCGCTCGCTACAGTGATTTGATGACATGCTCCGAGATCACAACTGGGGGTATTTTGAGAGGCGAGATTCCAGAGGGGTGGTAAGAACGGCCCGAGGTCTAAAGGCTGACCTGCAAATTCTTTTAGTGGGACTATGAAACCCTGCACACAGGTCCCAGGGGATGGCAGAGAACACTCAGAAAAGAGCCTGCTGGAAGCCTTGCAACCGCAGACTATGCTTTTCTACTCCCCTAGACTACTTCCTTGGGGGAAGAAGACTCCTCTGGAGAAACTTCTGGGGGTTCAAAATAATCCAGGACGGACAAGGGAGTGTCCGTTCTTCCACCTTTCCAACAGCCTCGAAGGAAACAAATGAAAATAGAACAAAGAAGACACTTACTCTTCGAACATTCTGTATGTATATGCCCTTTCTTCCTGCAGGGTGCAGATCTTCTTGAGAAGGCTAAAAACATCACTGCTATTGTCAACCTGGGAATGGAAGGAAAAGAATGAGCCAACCATTAAATGTGTGAAATATTCAGATCCATCTACTGCTAAGCGACGACAAAACTATTCTAACGAGAGCTACTTTTGTTGTCTTTCTTGTTCTCAGAAATTTAGAAATTACGATTACCCAGTCAAATCTCGTTAATATTGATACCCCCGTTTCCCCCTAAAACTCGTCCATATCTAATGCGAGTTTCCCCATCAGACAAAAACGTATGCATTAACCCAATTTGTCCTCAAAACGCTTGTCTATCTAACGGTATAATAACCAGCCATCACTACGATCTCATTTTGATTTGCAGCAAGCGAGACAAAAACGTTTTTGTTTGACGGACTGCACGTCAAACAAAAACGCGTAGCGCAATATGAACACCGCACTAGTAACCTCCCGGAATACTAGGAACTGCCCAACGTCAAAAGTCGTTACTAAATATGTGTATTTTTATTTTTCTACTACGAAGGTTTGTTTTAATGGCTGTCAAGACTTCGCCCTGCTGGCTGTTCGACCAGCTCCACTGTTACTCAAAAAGCGCGAACGGCCGCGTCACGTCGCAAACGCGTTCTTTGCATACTAAAAAGCAGTGAATATCTCCTTACGGTTGTGGCGTTTTTTTCTTTTCGCGTAGAAACTACAAAACAAAGCGACGGAACCCAAACTCTAATGGGTTACGCAACACAGCGGCACACAGTACCGCAAGACACCTCCGCAAACCGGTGGACTAGGTGCGACTCAAGGAAGATAAACCGGACTTTTTTTTTATACATATATCTATTTTATTTTTTGTTAGGCAAACCGGGCAGAAATCTGGCCGACGCTTAAAATACTACACCACGACCTCAATACCCGACTAATTTATGTCGGTTTTTCGGGCCTTTTTAGCGCAAGCTTGCAATTCGAATAGAGCGGCTTTGAAAAATACATTTCCGGATAAAAGACGTTTTAACCAAGTTTGACGGCTGCCCAATAACGAACAAAAAGAGCCTCTGACAGAACGGCTTTTGACAGCTTTCACACAATGAGTCGCGGATTCGCGCGGGGCACGTTTTTCGAGCCCGTCCAACTTGAATTCGGCCCGTGTTCCGAACACAATTACGCGTCGCTTCGATCGTGCCTCAAGGCATTAGAAACTAGGTGACGGAGATTGGCCGAGTTGGTCGATGAGAGACGTTTGCGGAAGTGGTGCTGGGGACTTCAACCGGCGCGGCGGCATGGGGACCTCCGAAAGCCATGCGGACGTTCGACATTTTAGGCAGTGTCAGAACGCGGTCGTACGTTTTCCTCCCTTGCCTGTTTTGTGCGTCGCGGGAACGGCATCTGTCGTTGGATCAGTAATATTCGGAGACCAAACGGGATACAGGAAATGGTGGGGAAAAAAAAGACTTCAAAGGAAATTACCATTTTAAACGCCGGCCTGTCGAAATCTATCAGCTGCTCCAATGCAACAGGTGCTGAGAAGGGAGATCCTCAGTTGCCAGCATCGCTTTTTGAACGTTGGTTTGCGACGGCAGCGCCCTCAAACTTTTCTTCTTGAAATGTACTATAAAAGGCGAAAAATATTTATTATATTTATATTAATTGAAATTATCTTGCGTTTTATTTGATTTGTGTTACCACATGAACGTTATAATGAGTTAAAAAAAACTTAAATAGGCAAGCTAAAAAGTTTTAAAGCCAAAGTAGCCAAAGCCTCCAAAGCTTTCAAGAATCCAAGCCATCCGAGCGCCGACTTGGCCGACTTTCCGATTCGCGAAGTGCGAAGTGGAACAAAATATGCACCTGTTTAAATCTCACTCCCTAGCATATTTTTGTCGTGACCCGGTACCTTTATGTATTCAGTTATCACCGCATTAGCGATGACTCTTTAATCTGTACTGTTTTGCTCGTGTTACGCGTAGCCGGCCGTACTGCATCACGTTACCGTGAGGACCGCGGATCTGCTGCAACATTCGAAGACGGCCTCTGGTAACGTCGCGCTATTTGACATTACAGAAATAATTGTACGGATTCATTCTTGAGCCATGGACCAGTCACGGCTCGATGAAACTCGGTGAAAAGAAGAGGGTCGCGAGCAGTGCTGTCGCTCAGGAAGCTGGGGGCAATGTACTGACGTTTATCGTTTATGTACCAGACCTCGAAATAAACTTGCACTGTTTAGTTAAATAAATTTTTTATTGACTTCCTATTAGAAAAGAAGCCACACAACGTATATAGTTTTTACAGGTCCCTGCCCTCCAGAAAGATCACACATAGCACTATGGACAAGGACAAGTAAGAGATGTGAACAGGAAGTAATGTTTTTACTATGTCTACCCAACTATCCCAGCAGTTCATTTTGTTCTTCCTTTTTTCTTGGGTGTCACTCTTGTTGTTGAGAGCTGTTTTGATTTGCTGCAAAGTTGAACATCTTCGATGTCAAGAATGCAGATGGCAGTGAGGCACAGTTTCTTCTTTACCCAACTATTCCAGCAGCTCATTCTGTTCCTTAGCTTTCTACACCATCAATTTTGTTGTTGCGAGGCGTTCCGGTTCACGTAGTTGACCGTCTTAGATGCTGGTATGATGACTGATTTGAGGCACGGTTCCTTTTCAGTGAGACTTGGCATCCCAAGAAAAAGACTTTCGGGCAGCAAAGTCTGTTGCGTCCATCGTCGTCATGGGTAGAGAAGAAAGACTGGCGCACGAGTCCTTTGTCACCAACAAGGAGGGCGGCTTTCCGGAGGAAATCGTCATGATATCCTGCATTCCCATGCTATCCGCTTGCCTGCACGGCTTCCTATGCCGAACATCCGTCGTCGCGTCTCTCCGAAGGAACCTGTGGCGAGTTGTTTTCGTTGTCCGATTCTTTTACTTGCTTCGTACCAGAGTCTTGGGGGCCTGCAAATGGCCACCACATAATGTATACTTCCCTCTCGCTGTTGCAGATTGTTTCGTGCCTATTTGTGCCATCTATTGACTGTTTGTGCTCTCTGAAATGCTGCACATATCGGAGAGCACAAACTCGCCCCGAATATGATGCGAGCAGTTGAGATAATGTGCCAAAATTTTCATGATTTATTGTTACCTGATTTATGAGTAAGGAGCGATTACAGGCATTTTTCAGCCTGAAAAACATTTCCGGCAATAAACGGCAAGTGGCTCATATCAGGGTGTCCACAAGACTGTGTCCGCGAGGGACGATGGCAGTGATGACTGCAACAGTAGATGCATTACAAACTACTGAACATTGCCATGTACAGGGTGTTTCATAGTGCTCTTCGGGGATAAAAACAAATTGGGACAAATAAACCAATGAACAGAGTGCATTGAAACTTTTCCCAAAGGTGTGTTTAGAGGGTGTGTTTTATGAGAAAAAAATTAACCCCTTGCTTACTAATAATGAGTGTCACTCGTGCCGCCATTTACGGACCATAAAACCCGACCACGAGTGTGACTCGTGTTTCGGTTTCAGAGCTTGTTTTGTGAGCTCTGCGGCAGATGGCAGCACTACCCCTGTTGCTCCTGTTTACCTTGGGTTCTTTTCTTGTTTGCTTTGCCTTTTGACAGAGAGAGGGCGCTTCATTGACAAAAAATAAGCGCACTATTGTAAGCAAGCGCGCCAAAAACATGTCTTCGGCGCGGAGGTCTGCTTTGGCGGACGAAGATATACAAAGACTTCTTTTTGAAAGTGATGAATGCGCCACTATTTCTGACGACGAATCCTGCTGCCTTTCCGATTACTCGGAATCCGATGAGAGTTCAACGGACTGTGAGAAAAGTGTTGAAAACGATGCGAATCCTGGAAGCATTTCATCGACTTCGGCGTCTGCACGTCAGTGGAACTGGGAGAAGAGGGACAACCAGCCTGCTCAGTTCACCTTTGTAGAAACCCCAGGTGTGTCAGCAAGGGTTCAACGCAGTCTTGGTGAGAAGACAAGCGCCTTGTCGACCTTTTCCGAGCTTGCAAGTCATGATTTTTGGGCGTCTGCCTCTGCTGAGACAAATCGCTACGCCGAACAAGAGATGGGCGATGAGGATCGTCCCAAGAAATGCTATGAGGAGCAATGGTTTGACACCATTCCGGATGAGATAAAGGCATACTTTGCCTTGTGCATCATTATGACGCAAGTGAAAAAACACACAGTCAAAAGGAACTGGTCCAAGAGGTCCATAGTGGAGACACCAATTTTTGGCAAAACGATGTCCTATGTGAGGTTTCTGCTAATCTCTCGATTTCTATCATACTGTGAAGAACTACTGAAGAAGAGGAGACGACCAGAGGTCCTGGTATAGAGCACGAGACTACGCCTGAAAGCCAAGGAAACGTTTTTCTTTATTTTGACGCAAATTGCTTGATTTAAATAAAGCTCTCTGTACGATCTTTAAAGAAAAAAAAAAATGAGTAGGCAAGGGGTTAAGCCTTTTTTTTTGCACAGGTAGAAAACCGGCAAACACCGTCTTGGAGGCTGCCACTCACAGGTGGTACTGCACACGCTCCGATCTACTGGATCGGCTTTCGAGTATTCATCAAATTTGAGTGTGATAGATGCATCACCTTAGTGAAAAGTTTCAATGCACTCAGTTCATTGAATTAGTTGTATGAATTTTGTTGCACCTGAATAACACTCGGAAACGCTCCGTATGTCTCCCTGAACTTTTTCAGGAGTGCCACGGCGCTGGACATCCTGCTTCAGTGTGTACCCTTGATCCTGGCCGTCACGGTGCTGTCGAGCTACGTGGCGTGCATCACCTTTTCGATGCTGGCCGCGTCCCTGGGAGTGAGGGTCGTGCACCATCTTCTTCAGCAGAGGCCACCGAAGACACAGAAGGTGCAGAGAAACAGGAAGGCTCCTGGCAAAAAAGGGTAACCACTCCACAAAATTCAGGTTGTCCAAGTAAAAAATTGTCAGCTCAAAAATAAAAAGAACTCGTAAAAAGTATATATATTTTTTTAGGTGGTCTAGCTGAACAGACCAGGTATTATCAGGCTGGCACAGCCATGGCCTTGGCTATTGTAATGCACTAACGGTTGAGTGAAAGGATTTTACGTTCCTCACCCCCCCCGGCGAGGCCGTGCTGCAACTACGGCACCCTTACGGGAACGTTCGCCAACACCATCGCTAGGCAGAGACCCTCTCGAGACTTTTGTACATCTGGCAAAGTAACCAACGTCAACAAGTTTTTGTCTCCCTCTTCCTCTAACATTCAGAAAAGCTGCTGGTGTAAAGCCATAAACCTCTGGGTCAATGACAGGGGCTGTTGGATTTCATTTTCGTCGATGCCGACAGCCACCTCCAATCACGCCGGCATCCTGCTGGTGACGCAGTATCATCATGTCGGCGCCGGTATGCAAGGGGGACTCGCAGACACGGGCAGCGGAGGCAGAATGGGACTTACCATCCAGCGCTACCATCAAATCGTGTCTCATTAAAACATCATCACCATATCGCTTAAACCCGGTCTTTACCCTGTGGGTCCCCCAGCCTGTTCGTCCCTTTCCAAGGAGTGAAGAAAATGAGCGAACGAAGAGGAGAAAAATGCGAAGAGGGAGAGGGTGGGAACAGAGTTTGCACACTATTTTTCAGTTTTCATATCTACCGCTAGGGGCGCAGCTGACCAAAATAGTGCCGGCCCGCCCTTTTTTTTTACTGTTACCCAGGCTTGCCAGGCTGTTGTTTGAATGGTCGTATTTACCCACCGGAGTGAAATGTGTTCCACGCGCAGCAGCGATAGTCGGCCATGAAGAACGACTTTTTCCTTGTGTCGGCATACAAATATTCGTGATGAGTGAACACTTCTTTTGCCGCTTGAGCCACCCGAGCGACCAAGTTTGCAAGCTCTTCTTAAGATGAGCTTGCAAACAACAAAACTATTTGCAATCTTTTGGGGCATTCATATAAAACGTCCACCTTTTATAACAAAAACCATAGCACTTCGGGACTATCGAAATCCATGCTGATGGATCTAACCACCAAGTCAAGCAACAAAAAAAACAACGAAAGGGCCTACCTGTCGATTACCGAAAACGAAAACAAAACCATGCCCAGTTGTAGTGATCATGTTTAGGGACGTCTTTCATTCAGAGATGGCACCACCTACATTGCGCCGATTACACGTGTCACGTGTTGTACAAAACCACGGGCCGCGTGGCGGCAAGACATGATTCGGTCACCAAAAATATGATAAATAAATCTGCTCGAGGCGCTCGCCTCAGATCTGCCCTCGTCATTGTTGGGATCAGTTGCATGTCCTGTCATTCTCATCGGCAGGTCCCGGCCCGGAGCCGGCCGGCACCTTTCATGTAAGCGCGCATCTCTGTTATAGTTCCCGTTCACAGTGAGGTCCAAGGCGTGCAAGGCTTGTTTGACCCCACACATATCTTTTTGAAATATAGCACGGGGGAACTACAAAACCAATGCCGATCACCTTGACGAATTTCGTGCTTAACTCTGACAGGACCAGTGTCGTCCGTAAGCTCTATGCTTACAGTTCAATCATACCAATAAAGTACAACTTTGCCATACACGCAATAGAGCAGGCGTGTCTCGTGATTAACGTTGTAGTGGATTATTGTGCAGCACCTATTCATCCTCAACCAGACTGTGGCGATTTTAGCGCCGCGTTATAAGGCGATGGAAACGAGAACCCTTTGCTTGGGCGCAGAAAGAGTGCCCCGTTGAAACGGTCGTTAATGGCTGTAGCTTTCGTAACATGCATAGATGTTACGAAGGACAGGGTTATTAACATAGTGATAAGATCTTGATGTCGTTGTGGTATTACCACGACCTCTGGCACTTTCTGGTGAGGTTTTCTTGAACGCAGCTAGCTTGGTTACCCTGGTTTTATGTTACAAAATAAATTCCCCTCCAAAATTTTCTTTTTAACTAGTGCAATTTTTTTAATTTAATTCAATTCAAGCTTCTTTTTTTTTTTCTCAGGTATACATTGGAAGGACCTCCAGACAAAAAGCTGTTATATAAGTAACTTGACGGGCTCTGGGCTCATTTTGAGCATCCAACGTGCTCCTATTTGGTGCTTTCTATTTAGGAATGTCATGCTTAAATAAAAGCACATTCCAAAATCACTTCTCAGTCAAAATGAGTCTTGGTATGTAAATAATAAAATAGAAAGCTTTTTTTTTTTAACTGGAAAGTGGGAGGGGGAGTTTTTCTTTTTTTTTTTTTTTTTCAGAAGTTCAGTTTTTCAAGAAAAAATTGAGAAACATGGTTGTATTGGAAGTTGATGTGCAAAATATCAGAGTCTGTCCCATCTCCGAATGTCTTGTGCTATTAAAAAAGAAGTTGCATGAGCTAAACTTCAGTCACTCTTCATAGCAGCAAGATAGTCTTTCCGAATACGTAGAGATTGGCTACGACTGAATTCATTGTTGTTTGCTGGTATGTTTGTCATTAAATATCCAGTAGACCGATGTCACCGGGCGTTCGGCACACGCATGACGCCGCCATAACTTTAGTCCAAGGGAGGAAGGCGGCAGTTCACGAGACTGCTTGTACCGTCGCATGCTCTGGACGCGCAGAGCTGTAGCACAGTTGCCGCTCGTGCCGAAAGACTAAAGATCTCTCAACGTGGCAACATTAGTAGGGAGCCTGGAGCGCGTCTTCAACTGGTGCGTTCACCGTATTCTAAAATGTGGTCCCTCAATATTCGACTACCGTAATGTCTTGGTAGATAGCCTACCTAAAATAGAAAGCAAAAAGGGTTAAAGAAAAAGAAGTAGGTTAACGTCTGGTGTGTGATAGAAAAAATTGAAAAAGTGTTTGCTTTAGATTTTGTGATCTGTGAAAGTCGTGATCGCAGGGAGGAGCAATGAACCGAAGACGTCTGCCCTTCCCAGTCAGCGATGTTTACTTATCTCCCGCTTTAATTAAGTGACATCATTTCTGTTGAGGTCACCATTGGCCAGGGACCTGTACTAGCACAAGTAGACCATCTTTTAAAGATTCTGGGAAAAAAAGAAAAAAGCAAATCGTGTTAAAAATAGGGGGCGGGTTATCTCTCGGGATCTTACGGTAATGACATTGTAGAGGAGTTGTGTTGTCGCCGGCCATGATCTTGGCGGTGTCGCAGAAACGGCGGCGAATGTGGCAGACGCTTGTCTGCTGCAAAGCGTCTGCTGCAGGTTGCTCTCCAGTTTGACAATCCACGTAAGTTCAGCGGCCAGAAGTCGGGACGGCGCGACGGTGGCGACGCTTGCCTTCTCTCGTGGTTTTTTTGATGTTCGGACTTTTGCAATGTCGTTTGTTGCCACTTTGGAACAACTTTCAATGCTCGGGCTGAATTGGATGGCAAACACCAATCGGAGACACGTTCCCAGCAGCGCAGCAGCACCCTAGCCAAACCGACCGACAAGATTGATCTGTTGAGAGTCTGTGCTTGTTCCATTTAGTTCCTATCGTCCGTCTTCATTACCTTCGTGCCGTCTTTCCTTTACAACCTTTTTATTCTTACGCCACGATCGCAGGCCCCCGTCGACCGGTGCAAGTGTCCGTCCGGCGTGGTCGAGCGTGGTGACGGCGGCACGCTCGCAAGTGCTGCTTGGGGCCGCGGTGTTCATCCTGGCAGTGGACTTCCCCGCATTTGCGCGTCGCCTGGCCAAGACGAAGCGGTCGGGGTTCAGCCTGATGGACACCGGTGTCGGCCTCTTCGTAGCCTTGGCGGCCGCGAGTTCCCCCGAGGCCAAGGGTGCCCCGTCCCCCGGGGGGTGAGTTTCTTCCCCGTGCTGTCGTGGACGGTACGTGCCGAAACAATCCTTCGCGCTCCTCTTCGGCTTTCCCGTCGGTTTTTGAGAGAGTTGCGGTCAGAACTATACTTCGCTCGCACCTAAATGCTCGTTAGTACTCTCACATTTGCAAACAAGTGAGCTCTTTCAATCTCTTATAACTAGAGAACGGATGGATGGATGGATAGATGAATATGGCTGAGCCCTTTGGATCGGGCGGTAGCTTACGCCACCTAGCCATTGGCATGCCGGCGCCATCTATGATTTGACCTTGGAACTGCATTTCACTAGAGCGAAGGTTTGTGGCATTTGGAAGATGAAATCCACGTGCTACCTGCGAGAAATGGCCTTTTATGACGTCGTCGAGAGATTTCGAGCAAAGAAAGAAAGAATGAAAAAATAGTCGGAGTGCAGACAAGCTGATGTAAGTTGTACTTGATGGTAAACCTGAGACTGGGGTAGGAAAAGGAAGACAGAAAAAGAACGGGCAACATCTCAGTTGAGACGTTGCCCTTCTTTTTCTGTCCTTGCGTTTTCCTTTTTCTACCCTAAACTTAAAATTACCACCGTGTTAAAAAAAAAAAAATGCGCAAACGAAATGGGAAAACGTTGACAGAGCAAGAATGACGGAGCGTGCGTTTAGAACGTCCGGCCTCAAGTACGTGCTCTGTGCCTTCCGCCGTGCTTTGGTCACATGCATGCCTTCGAAGTGCACGAGACGCAGAAGCGTCGTCGGAGGCGGGACGGCCGAAGCTCCTCCCCTGTCGTTCTCCTTCCGACAGCGTGCAGAACGTGGTGAGAGCGGTGAAGGGCAGCGTGCCCTTGGTCCTCATAGGGCTGTCGAGAGTCGTCGCCGTCAAGAACCTGGAGTACCAGAGCCCCATCTCGGAGTATGGAGTCCACTGGAACTTCTTCTTCACCCTCGCCTTCACAAAGGTAGGAACTTTGGATGCTAATCCCGCCAGGGTGGGGCGATCGATGGTCAAGTGCGTCGCACGCGGCCGTCGTTCAACCATCACCAACCGGCCCGACTTCCCACCTCGCTGCATTGACTCGCTGCAGCTCGAAGCACGAGGAAACGAAAGCTCACATTGCAAAACTTGTAGGTCCTGGGTTCGATCCCCACCCCAGCCCGTTTTCGATCTGGGCGCGCGTCATACCGACGTGCAGTCACGTATCGCCATCGGTTTCCCCCGCCCCGGCACGTTGCAGTGCCCCTTCCGAAGGTTGCGCGACACTGGCACGGAGTTGCATTGGCCCCGGTGGTTTGTAGCACCCCCCGCAGTTCGTCTGAAGACGATACGGAGTATATTCGGTAGTTTCGCATTCCTTCGCTCATAACGGCACCTCGCATAGCATTCGCTTTTCTTACGTTTCTAATCCGCGAGTGTGACCATCTCTTTGCAGGTCGCGGCATCGGTCGTCTATGCCGTCCTCCCGGCTCACCTGGACTGGCTCGTCGGCTCCATCTTGGCAGTCGGCTACGAAGCCGTCCTCCAGTTGACACAACTCAGCGCGTTCTTGGACAACAGCAACCGCGACGGCCTCGTCGCCGCCAACAAAGAAGGGCTGGCTTCACTGGCCGGGTTCTTGGCGCTCTACTTGATTGTCGTGGCACTTTCACGTCGCCTGCTGTACGGCGCAAGGTGAGGTAACCCGCGTCGCTGGCTCGGGTTAGCCTATTAGCGACTTCCGCGAAATCGACGGCAACTGGCGGCTAGAACAGAAAGCCGTCGCAGCAAGTTCGCTCTCCAGCTTCCTTTTTAAAACTGAAGCTACAAAACTTGCTTCGGAAACATGCATTGGAAATTGCCAATACTAGTCTACTAGAAAAAGCTTTGCCAGGAAAATATGTAAATTTTAATGGTTGCGGGGAGAGTTTGGGGGGAAAGAAAATAAGAGTCACACTTTTACAGCGTGGCTTCTTACAGGTTTTACAAAAAAGACATTGGCATTGGGTATCGAAGTATCTCAGAAGTAAAAATCTACTTTTCCTCCACGTAACAAAAAGAAAAAAAAAAAAAAAAAAATTAGTGGAGTATTTACACTGATAGATTCATTTTGATTGAGATGCGATTTTGAAACATGCTTTTACTTCAGCACATTTTGGCCAAAAAAAAAAAAAAAAAAAAAAAACTAAATAGAGGCCTTTTGCTAGGCTCAATGACAGTGAATATTGCAGTAGTTTATTTTTCAGGAGGAGGGAGGGTTTCAAGTGACATGCGTTCACTTGAAAAAGAAACGTAATTGACTGCAGATCAGTGTTTTCTCAAGGATGACTTGTAGTTTGTACAGGACTGGCCATTCGAGAAATGTAACATATGCATTGTGTTTTTGTTCTTTTTCTTTCTTTCTTGTTTTATTTAAAGGAGCTGCATCCGTGACTGGGTGGCCATGGTCTTCGAGATCAGCGCTGTTGCGCTAGTCGGACTTGCACTGACCTACGTGATGCACTCGGATCTGGCGCCCGTTTCGAGGAGGCTGGCAAACTTGCCCTACTGCCTTTGGACGGTAAGAACTCGAGCTTGGGACTGTGTTCATTTTGCAAACATTTAGGTAATACATGCGTAAGCCATTTCATACCGTTTCTCAAACTGCTTGTCCTGCAGACATGCATTCGCTCGTTTCTCCGAAAAGTTATTACGGGATTAGAACAGCAGCGAGATTGTTCAGCTGTCCCCACTCCAGCGTGAGCTTTGTACCTTCGATAATCCTTTGGCGTCTGTAGTAGATTTTTTGCAGAGCTGGGCAGTATCGCAATACCAATGTACCGCAATACTATCTCGGAGATACTTCTGAGTATCTAGCTGTATCTCTGTATCGAAACACATTTCAAAAATGTATTCGTATCTCGGTAGTGGAATACACTTGCTATGTATCAGTTGTAACACAATACTCGGCCAGGCAGAGGTATCTCGTTGCATTCGGGGGGGGGGGGGGGGGGGCAGCGTTTTAAAGACATCACCAAAAGATAGATGAGGTGAAAAGGGCCCAAACAAAAAACCCTATTTTTTGGAGAATGTCAAACTCGCCTTTGCTGTCCGCTTTATTTTACAGGGGACAGCGGTCTATTGTCCTAACGGCAATCGTTAGGTTTCCTTCATAGAGAGGATGCAGTGAGACGTCTAGGGTTCACTCCTTTTGTGAAATGATCGTCCTCCTTTGTACTCTATGGGGTTCAGTGGGGAACATTATGGTTTCTTATCTGTATCAGGAAAAGCTACTATGGAGGAAGAGGAGTTTGAGATGAAGAGAAGTAGGAGAACCATCTGACACAAAAGGAAACAACCATCACCTTTTGTATTCACCAGGAACTGCACCCTTGTCGTCCTATACCGAAAGAAAAAACCCAGCGTTCGTGAACAGTACAAGATTGCCCCGACTGACTGAACATAGACCCCTTTCCAAAGTCACGTGCCGATTATTATTATTAGAAGGTCTCGGAACAACTGCATGGAGGAACGTGCAAGTCATTCCTTAAAATGCCGAACGCGCTGCCAACACTGGCCAACACTACGAGCCAGCCGACGAGACAGCTTCGAAAGTGCGACGTCGTTGCGCTGATGAACTTTTTTTGTTATTGTTTTTTACACTGCGCCGCGACGTTGAGGTTTTAGCCCGCCATTATGTAGGGTTTTCACAGCTGCCAACAGGAACAGGAATTCCCAGCCATGAAGGCAGTATTTATTTGTTTTAATACAAACTTATGCTCCTCTGGAGTGGTGGAGAGACTGTTCTCGTTTGCAAGTCTTGGACTAAAACCGAACCGTCGCTGTCTTGACGATTGACTGTTTGAGAAGCTTCTCCTACTCAAGTGCAAAGTGCAATTAATTTCATTTTTCCGTGTTTGCGAGAACCTTTCAAGAATAAAGAGAGATGTATTTTTTGCTTTAGAATTCAGGTTTGTTTGTTTCTTGCGCTATATTTGGGACTTGCGTTTCATGGGTCATTGCGTAGGTTATAGTGCATTCTTAAATATTTTTACGGGACATGACATCGTTCAAGGAATAAAAGTATTTCAGTATCGGTATTTCATTATCTGTCTTCTGGGATACATTTTTCCTCTTTTTGCAGAGTATCTCCGAAATATCCCCATACAGCAAAAAGAAATGTATCTCAGTATTTTTATTCCAGAATATTTTGTTAATATATCTCAGTATTTCTATCCCGGAATACTTTTCTAAGTATCCCTGCCCAGGCCTGATTTTTTGTAATATCCGTGTTTCAAGACATTACCTTTTTTAATTACCCCAATTGGGACATGCACTGACAAAACCTTTTCTCAGCCTCTGCCCTAAAGTTAGGTTGAGTTGCATTTTGAACTCGAAATTTGAGCATGCATGGTTTTCTCTGGCAACGTGCTGTTTAAATATATTTCTCTAAAATTTGTCCTGTTTTTTTGTTGTTTTTTTCTTTCCAGATGTGTCTTTTTTTAGTTACCATAGTCTGCTTCGTCCTACTTCAAATCGCCGACGTGCTGTTGTGCCAAGAGGGGATGCAAGTGGATTTCAGCCAGCTTCAAGTTTTACACAAAGCCAAAGACGCTGCTGGCGAGTCACAGGAGCCAAATCTTCTCTGGTACAGCATCAACTTCAACGCCATGCCCATGTTCCTGTTGGTCAATCTGTTGACCGGACTTGTGAACATTTTTCTCCGCCCAAGGACCATGGGGACATTGTCTGCGGTGTTGGTGTTAGTCGTGTACATTTCCGTTGCTGCTTTTACAACTGTCTTTTTGTACTCCAGGAAGATGAAATTAAAACTTCCATTCAGTTAGGAACTGCAAGAGAACTAGCTGCACAAATAGTGAAATAGTCATAAGTGTGTGTAGCTCTGTGTGTGCATTATTTCTGTTTGTATCAAATAGACTGGCAGCTGCTTTATTTAATAAATACAAATTGCACGCAACCTCAAGTACTTTTCTCGTATTTTTATGAACTACCGCTAAAGCTATCTAACATTTAAGGGATACTACAAAGAAATTTCAGCACTCATTTTTTGGTCTATATGTGTTCAAAGGAGCAGTATCACATCGAACATACCAATATCTTGTTAAAAAAGTCTCGAAAAGGAATTTTAAAACAAATTAAACGATTAGCAAAGAGCACCCGGTGGATGTCGCTAACGCCTCGCTCTGGCCACGACGAGAGAAGGGGGAAGGAGGAACTCCCCTCTTTTCAAGAATCCCTTTTGTGTGTCGCAGAAGTCGCTATTGTCCCCCTACAAGGTTATAAAATATTAACGCGTCACTCAAAATTCGTACAAAAGCAGCCGCTTCGGTGGCTGGAATGACTAGGCCATCCTCTCGACGTCAGCCTCGCCATCAAGGCTCGCCATAGCTTTACTCGTCCCGAGACGAACTACGTCACGATTGCGTTGGATGTCACGTGGTCTCCGCTGGGCCTTCTCTGAGCGCTTGCCAGAGTAGGCCGTTTATAACAAAAATAGGTGGTATTCACTGAGCCTGCAGGTTCGATTTTGCCAGGGAGCGCCACCGTCGATCCGCCATCTTCGAGGTCTCGGTTTGACTGGCTTAGGTACGCTACGCGATCGTCCGCTGCTAGTGTGTACTAATTTCCTATCGTTGAAGCTTCGTTGAACAGAAGAGAGATGAAAAGTTGGTCTCGGGGGCGGGCCGTTTTCCTTGTTGCCGCCAAGTACCGTGTGTAAAGGCTGAACCGCATGTAAGCAATTTGGCGAGCGACGGGACGAGACGAGCGACAGCGACGAGACAAGCGACGACGACCCGCTTCGCTGTCGCTCGGTCGGCTCGGTCACTCGCGCGACGTGGCAAACCGCATGAAAGCGACGGGAGCATGCGACCAAGGCGATAAGCGACCCTTTCTAGAAATCCAAAAGCCAAGCGACGCGACGACCGACCGCGAGAAATCTCCGTCGCTCGTCGCCGACTCCCGTCGCTGTCGCCATCGCTCGCTAAATCGCTTACATGTGGTTCACCCTTCACTGTCACTCGTCGCGTAGCTCGGTTTTGGGATTTCTAGAAAACTTAGCGCTCCTCGCCTTGGTCGTGTCCTCCCGTCGCTTTCATGCGGTTTGCCTCGTCGCGCGAGTGACCGAGCGGCAGCGAAGCGGGTCGCCGTCGCTTGTCTTCCCGCTCGCCAAATCGCTTGCATGCGGTTTTTAAATCGCTTGGGCTAATGAAAATGCGCCGCATTTTTTATAAGCTGCGCATCCTGTGAGCCGCACGGTATGTTTCTGCACAGGAACGCACACCGAAGGCACGACGTATGTACGACACAGCGGCGATGGAGCCACACGGTTACAGGGCCGTAGTACAGAAAATCAGCTAGAGAAAAACAATAATGAAACTAGCAAAACAAAGAGTAATCACACCGTGCTGCAAAAGCACCAAAGTAGAAAAATTAGTTCTTGCAAGAGCTACCGCCGTCGGCACGGCGGGCGACACTGAGCGCTTCATCGCTTCATTGGCTTCATGGAGCCGAGGGAGCAACGCGGCCGCGGTAAACGAGTCCGATTGCGACAAAAACAAACTAAAACAGACAAAAAATACTCCCACAACGCTTCAGAAGTACCAAAGTATAAAAATAACCCCTAATTTCGATCAAAAAGACTCTTTAAAGTTGTAAAATACTGCTAAACCACGCTCAAAGGGTCCGGCCAGATGGCATTCGCGATAGCAAGTCGACCTCGAAGATGGCGAGCGCGGTGGGCGATGGCAGCGAACCTCAAAATACAAACGTGCGATTGTCATTTACGGATATTGTGGATCATATTCAACCTATTTTTCAATATAGATGGCGCGAGCCACCGTCCAATCCGAGAAGGAAACACTGAAATATCTATACGACTTTTTATATTGATGGCGCCGCCCACGGTTTTAAAAGAATGCCCCGTTGCTTTGCTAAAAGCGTTGCATTTTAAACTTTATATGCTGTAGCAGAACTAACCGTCTAATTCATAAGTCGCGGAACATGATGGTGCGTAGGCTGCCGCCGTAGGAATAAGTCAACGAGGTAGAGGGGCTTTCGCAAATGTGTCTGTCCGGTCTGTCCCTCGTGTATTTTCTGTTTTTTATTTTTCCCGTGTGAACTGGACTCAACCCAGCCGCAAACTTGGTGAACTCTGTAGACGAGCCGAATCAAAGCTGAAAATGTCGTCTCCTAAACCTCAAGACGAAGAAGGCGCCCGTCCGAGTGGTGTTAGGACCAGACGTCAACCTCGCAAAAACTACGCGGTAATGAACGGCGACTCTGACGACGACGACTCAGACGTCGACGAACCCGACGATCTCGGCTCGACCAACTACGAAGTGAAGGCACCACCTTGCAACGGCACCCAAAAGAAGGACACCCGCGTCTTCAGGTGCGTGCTGTGCCTTTCGGACGCAGACGACACGCGCTCCCACCTGGCGCACATGCGGACTGCCCACCCGAACCACCGAACCCACTGCCTGATCTGCGAGACGGAGTACGACACCTACGGCGCGTACAAACGCCACCTCCGCGACGACCACCCAGACATGCTGCGGAGGCTGGAGGAACGCAGCAGCTCGGAGAGCGGCCTGTACTGCCTCGAGTGCGGCAAGCCGTTCGCGTCCGCGTCCTTCCTGCACCGCCACCGGTCGCAGCACTTCATGCTGAACCGGGAAGAGTGCAAGGAGTGCGGCAAGTCCTTTCTGGAAGGTCCGGCCATGGAGCGGCACTTGATGACGCACAGGACGGTCGAGCTGTCTTGCGGCCGCTGCGACGTCACGTTTCAGGACTCCCGGAGCCTGAAGAACCACGCCAGGAAGCATCGGCAGTACAAGTATCACTGTCGGGTATGGGCTGGCTAGCTCCTCTGCAGCTTGCTGCTTTGTTGAGTCTAGTCTTCTGTCTACCTTAGAGGCTCTTGGTGGTGCCCCACCACTGATGCCCGAGTGTTTATTCTTAGAAAAATGAGTATGAAGCAATCTAACGTTTTGATAAGGCTACACGCTTGGAGTAGGACAAGACGCCCTGGCTTCACGAGTGACAATTACATTTTGCAGATGTAGTCCTATCCTGCTAAACGTTTATTATTTATATATATAAAGTGTGAATATGCTCCTTGTCCATCAAGAACTGTCTTTACAAAAAGAGGCAAGATCATCTCAGGGAAGAACCTCGGGATGTTCAGTATGATCCAGAGTATGGCCATCCCGGAAAATTTTTTTGGAAACCTAAGGATTAGTGTCTCTGGCACGGGTCATTTGTGTACTGGCAGGCACAAGTTGAGAACGCGTTCCACAGATCTCTCTCCTACCAAACGTAACATTCTGCTTTCCGACCGCACTACCCCAGGTGTGCGGTCGGCCCTGCCGCACCGCCATGGGGGTGGAGACCCACATGTGCAGGAGGCATCCTCAACCGGGCAACAGTTACCGCTGTTCCCTGTGCCAGAAACACTGCAACAGCACAAACCACCTGTGCAAGCACATAGCTGCCAAGCACAGAGACAACGGGGAACGCCTCTTCACCTGCGACATCTGCAAACGCAGCTTCAGGTGAGGCGTCTGCTAATCTGTGTGCCTTCTGCAGTAGTGCCTAGATCCCAAATTGTCTGCTGCAACACATTTCCAGTGCTGTACATGTTTCCAATGATGTACACGATCGGCTACATGAAAACCAAAACCTTACGGGGAAAAAGTATCGCAATAAGGTGCAAATTCGGATGGCATGGCCGGCACCTCCGCTCGACCGGGTGCCCGACTGCCCTTTGACCGGCGCGTAATCGTTTTGCAGGTGGAAGCACACTCTCAAGGCTCACACAATACTGCACCACCCCACCGTGAACGGCGAGGGGACGCCCACTCTGCACAAGTGCCCCCACTGCGACGTGGCGTTCCCGTACCGGTTTGCGCTCCAGTCGCACCTCATCAAGCACAGCGAGCGGAGGGACTTCCATTGCAAGCTCTGCGGTAAGCCCGGTCGCAGCTCCGATGGGCATTATCGTGCCACCCGCAACGCGTCTCCCGACTGGTTTATTTAAGGTGCTCTCAAAGGTGGTCCCTCAATTTCTGAACGACTACGTCATAAAAGTGTCATGTCGTTGCCAGCCACGATTCGGGAATTGTACGTACCGTTGCGGTACGTGCAATTCCCCAAGCGGCTACTGTGGCACAAACGCTGGCGCCGCGATCTCGTCAAGCTCGGCCCCAAACCAAGTGTCGGACGCAGTTCTTCGAAGCAGGTTCCCTTGACAGTTTCCCAACCGAGTTTTCTTAGTAATGTTGTCTCTGACTGACCGATCTCTTCGAGAATATCTCGGGAATGCCGGGAAAAAGTGCTTCGGAGTTGTGGAAGAGCACTAGCCTGCGCTTGGACTTGTGCCCGACCGGACCAGGCCGAACTCGATACTAAAACGTCCACTCGTCACGATGCATAAAGTCAAGAAATGGAAACCAGGTGCAAAAACAAAACATAAAACGTTTTGATACTTGCCCAGTCCTTACTGCGAAGCATATTTTGCGTCCCGTAACAACTGCAAGAATCCAGTCAATTTTAAAACGTGGAACGCTTTATAGCTGAACCCCACACTCCCAGAAATGTGTCCGTCTGTTTGTGCATACCCGTAGCAATGTACGTCAGCACGTTCGGGTTGCTTGTCGTCGGGTGTCAAGTCGTGTAATGCATTGGCAGGCCACGCAACACCAGAACTCGACGAAACAATGTCGCGCAATATTTAATGCCTTATAAACAAAAGTAAAGATTGTTTTATCTAGACCCACTAGAGAAGGTTTCAGAGTAAGGACATTTCAGCCACCTCAGTGCTTAAAATTGTGATCTTCAGTTATCTGAAGCTTTGTCCGAAATCACAGGAAATGCTTTTCTGTCCTTGAGAAATATCGAAACAGTTTGCAACAGAGTGAAATGATACTGCCAAGCCTCTCTCTCTCTCCCCCTCCCCTCCCTCCCTCCCTCCCTCCCTCCCTCCCTCCCTCCCTCCCTCCCTCCCTCCCCCCCCCCGCCCCAATAAAGTCGCTTTTTCGAATTGTAGTGTTCGCCAATTACGCCAATACTCTTAAGCAGCGATTTTCAACCATTGATGTTTAGCGGACCCCCTGTGGATCGGCAGAGATGATGGAGAACCCTGTTGGTGACGAGGGGAATAATAAGGCAAAAATAAATTATGATAATGATTTAATGAATGGATATAACGAAGGACTAGCTTGAGGTAGACTTCTCTCAATGACGTGCACACAAAAGAACTCACCCGAAAATTGGAATGTTTCTTCTCAATCTGAAAAAAGACATGTTTTGCCGGGCTTGACTGAATGAAGGCTTTGCAGACCCCTAAAATGTCTTTGCGTACCCCCCATTTGAGAACCACTGCTCTTCAGCGTAGCATATTTAGCGGCTCTAGTCCCGACTAATCAAACTGTTTGAGACCCCGGAAATTTTTCATGGCAGGAATGGCCTTCAAGAGGAAGCAGCCCCTGACAGACCACATGAAAGCGGTGCACTGCTCTGAAAAGAAGTTTCACTGCACAACCTGTGGCCAGATGTTTGCGGTGAAGCGCTACCTGGATGCGCACTGCAGGCTGGCACATCCGACGCATGTTGAGGTTTTCCCTTGCAGGTGAGTCCAATGTCCGTGCGGGTTGCACGGTGATAGAATCGATGGTACGAGTGAACAGATTATCGGTAAGAGCATGGGTGCTTGAAAGTTGAGCCGTCACAAAGACTCGCAGCTATTGATCTGAAGAAACAAAGGCTGTACTTTAGTAACAATTAAGACTAGACAATCTCGTGTTCCCTTGGCAGGTTGGCCTCATGTACAGGGCAAGACACGATTGCCTCAAAGTACCAGTTGTACCCTGTCCCGTTCCTTATACTATGTTCTTGCCTGAAGCCCCGATAATTAGTTTTACAAACCTGCTCCCTCCGTTACCGATTTTTCAGATTAGGGGAGGTCTAAAAATTATGCGGAAACATTGTAGCCACAATAAAGCTTGAGAAATAGCTCAGAGGGCTGAAATAGAAAAGCACGAAAGGAAGAAAAGCATTTCGGGGACGTGCACGTTCCGATTCAAAGCCCGTTTCTCGCACAAGTCGAACGTGCACTTGCGTGAAAGTGTAGCCCCCGAAACACTTGTCGCTCCACGTTGCACTGCTGGTTTCACTGCATCTCGAAGTGGAGCAAGGAATGGGAGATCCCTCTGAAAGTGGTCAGCCTTACAGTCAGTTGCAATGTAAGGAGGTGAAGAGAAGCCCCTTCCCTCCTCTCAAGTCTTCGCTCTGCTAAAGTGGGCGGAGGGCTTTGTGGGAGAAGCTTATATCCTGCTGCGCTTAACCCGACTGTGCAGCTCGACCTAAAAACTTACAAAACCTTGTGCAAAGAGGCTGCAGGATCTGGTCTAGATTAGGGCCACCGAAAAAGCTACGCTTAGAGTTTGGGCACTCCGTTTCTCGTGGGTGCTGCCATTTTGGCGCTTGATGCAAAGCGGGTGCGATTGGCGATCGGCAACTTCCCGAGTTTTAGATACCGGGACAGAAACCTCGGGCAAGATTGTTTTCCTACGTCGCGGGCCGTTTTGCCGTTTCCGGAGGGCAGAAAACCGTCTCGTGCGATTTCAGATACAGTTCCGGATAAATGGCAACATAAACTTCAAAGACCAAAAAAAGTTTAGTTGTTAGGCTAGGTGACACAAGCTACCACCAATTGTAAAGGGTACGGCCATCAGTCTCCATCCATTCATCCATCCATCCGACAGCCAAATTGTTGTTACCCTAAGGCGTAGCTCATTCTGTGGCTCTATTTTAGCCAACAGACTGGACGCGCTGCGATGCTAGGCTTCAAGGCTCCTTGTTTCTTCTGCCCAGTGACTGTTCGAAGGAGTTCAAGACACAGAAGGCGATGAGGAGCCACTGGAAGACCTGCCACGGGAACGCGCCGCGGAAGCACGTCTGCGAAGTGTGCGGCAAGGCGTTTGCCTTCTTCAAGGACCTGAAGCGGCACGGGCTCTCACACGGGGCGCCCAAGACGCACGAGTGCCAGCAGTGCGGGAAGCTGTTCTCGAGGCCCGACAACCTGCGCAAGCACGAGCGCACCACATGCAAGTTGAGGGACGAGTAGCCAGACGGTTAGTCGGACCACTGTTGGCCGGCTTTCGGCGTTTGAGACATTTGTGTCCGGAATGCTGCGACTGATGCTTCTGGAAAAATGTGCGAGGGATGTTGGCTATACGTTTCAATCAATTTGATGAAGTATGTGCAAACGAAAGGAAAAGAACAATAAACGTTCAGATATTGTTATTTCGTGCTTTTCTTTTTCTGTCACATTCTAGATTATTTTAGATGTGCTGGTACCATTCTCAGAGTTTGAGCGTAAAGTATGTGGTTTGCTCGCTTTTGAGAAGTTACGAACATGCACATCCTATGCTGTCAATTCGGAATTGTTAGAATGGTCTACAAGGCGTCCGAGATTTCGCACTATGGAAAAGTGGGACCACGAGCTTATCTTTATACTGGATGGAAGTGGTCTATTTTGGGGAAAGTTGGCCTTGAATTTCAGCTGAAATTGAGGTGACCATAGACCTCCCTGATGCCTCACATGACAGAGTAAAAATCAGAACACTAAAAATAGTACAAACACAAGGGCACCAAGTAAAAGAAAACATGCGCAACCCTGCTCACTGGGCTCGTCATGTTGCTTTATGATGTTGGCTTATTCACAATCTTATGTACCAATCATCCAATGCTAAACGTTTAAGATTGTTGTCTCAAGTTGGTCTTTACTTGGATAAGATTGGTCATAAAAACTATACCTACCCCAACTATCTTCCCGCTAAAGGTCTGTTCGCTCATACTCCACAGCACTAATCGAGCGCTATAGATATGGCACTGACTTTGCACCATACCAGCGCTGTACATCAGCGCTCCGCTGCATATGACCACCACCTTTTCCAGCATTCATACGCAGTGTGGTGCCAACTCAGCACCGAGTCGGTGCCGACAGGAGCGCTGATGCGGTGCCGACTTCGGGCTCAAGTTGCAGCAGAACACCCCAAGGTGTGGAGTCCGGCGATCCCTTTCAGGTCGTGCCCCACACTGCGATTGATTGTAACGGTATGGGACAATCACGAGTATCAGAAAAGAAACCAGGTGGTGGAGGTCAGCTCTGTTCTGAGGCACTCGAGGAAGCGGGCGTTGAAGGAGTTTGGTCCGCAGACGAGCACGTGCGGTGCAAAGCGGCACTTTCTTACTTCCCTTCGGAGCAGTTCTTCGTCTATCCTTCCGTAGTGAACCTCATCTCCGTACTTCACCTTGGCAACTTCCGTCTCCTGCCAAAATAAACATGCACAAAACATTCCTTCACGAACCAACTGCTTTGCAATTTTTTTTTCTTTTTTATGGTAAATTCTTTTGGTGGTTTTGGTGCAGTTTTAGAGTGCTTCTTTGTTAATATCTTGTGCATGCTAGCACGCACTACCATTTACTGCTCCAAAAACGCGGGCATGGAGCGCTTTTGGATCGCTGCACATCCACTGAGGAAATTCCCCATTAGAAACGTTTCTCATGAATCGTTTTTATAAGGGTGCAGTTATGCGACGATGACAACACGATACTGACATACGTCAGTTTAGCATCAATATAGCTTTCTTTAATTCTATACTGTTGTATACGCTAGGCATGATGATATGGCTGTGTAAATATCTAGTAGAAATAGAGCACCATCGTTGTTGTAAATATCTGCCCTTCAAAAGCTTTACCATATTTTGTGCACGGATTGCAAAGTGCTGCTGTATTATGTGCGTCGGCATGATCCTCTAGCTTTAGATATTTTACTAAAATAGAGAACTATTCTTGGCATAGCTACATGTTCTTTGCTTCTTTCTAGAGTTATTCAACAACCTTACATTCACAGTCATACAGTCCTCATTAAGCAGTTGGGCCCCTCAACTTCAGGCTTTTTAATGCCTTTGCATACCTACTTGGCTGAGGCAGTAGAGTATGGACACATTCCAGAAGTTTCTGAGGTCGTCGAGCTCTTTCTTGAGGTAGATCTCGTCATATCTGGCGACTCCAAACAGCAGTCTGACGAGCGTCTCGTCGTCTTCGTTATCCGTGATGTGACGCAGAATCTGGATCATCGGAGCGATTCCAGTTCCGGCAGCCAGCAGTATGAGCTGTTTATGCTAAAGGAAAACGCAACTTCTGTACCGTATTTTCTGGACTATAGCCCGCTAACTATACACGTCTCAAAGTTGAAATTTTACAAGGTGCAGACTTTACGAGGGTTTTTTCGTGCGCAGACTATATACTGGGCACTGGCTATCTAAGGACAAACTTCTTTTTATGGCACTTGAAGACAACTCTGAAAGAGTTCCGCTACAGAGTGATGAAGGAAGTGGCAGTTCATGCAATTGGGTATTACATACCGTTTTAACAACTACACCTTTTAAGAATGGGCCAACAAATGGAATTTGAATCCACAATTCGTTCCGACAAGTTTTCATAAATTTAGTTAACGCTCGTGAAAATAAATCATCATCAGGCGACGTGACATCAGTGTGTCTCCACACAAACTCTAGATTGCGCGACATAAAAATAAGTTTCAACCACTGTGCCAGCAGCAGATATAGCGAACTTGATTTCTGGCTACTGTGCTTTGCCCACCGAGTTTGGCTTGTAGTTGAGTTCGCCAAAGGGACCCCTCCATTCGACCAGGCTGCCTTCTGTGAGGGAATCAATGTACTTCGACATCTTGCCATTAGGGTAGATCTGGAATAGGAAACAAACCTTGAAGACAGGGTCAACTTAATAACTGCAGCATATGTAATGTTGCATATAAACGAGGAGGACCATTTTTTTGTCTGTAGTCATCACTAAATTGATCATGACATAGTTTGAATATTGAATGAATTCTTTTTCAGCTGTATGAATTTACGAATGACAAGCTCTAGCAGACTGTTTCTATGCTTGTTTACCCGTATGTGAATCCCATTTTCTATCTCTGCATCGTGTGGTGAAGTGTTACGAGCACTACTTGAAGTTCGAGCCTGGCGCTGTTTGTGAATTTTAATTTTCCATTCTTACGGTACTTTATACTCACACTGGCCATCGATACTTTAAACAGCATTAGTATGAGGAACCAAGTGAAAGGGCTGCTGCAGTACCACATACCTTGATTAGAACTTCAAAAGTTCCTCTCTGCGAACTTGGAGATATGGGAGTATATTGACGGGTGATGCATTCTCCGTTGTACGAAGCCCTGAAAGCAATTTATTCATTGCCTATCACAACCTTCGTTACATTATTTTTTTAAAAAAAACCATGAGGCCCCTTTTATGTTGAATAGATTCAGGAAAGTTTTACGGTCATGAAATTTTGGAAGTTTGGGGACTGTGGCTAAACTTCAAACTATTTTGCTGGGTAGACACAAGCAATTGTGTTACCTCAGATTCCAATGGCCTCGGTATTACTATGGCTGCTACTATCAACTATTTTGTGCTACGTAGTCGAGGCTATAGTATCTTCTACTGTTACAGTCCCACACTGTTGCAAGAGAATGTGGCTTGATCTTGCGCGGGGGATCGGTGGCCAAGTGTGTTAGCACACTGCAGCTCGGAGGACGAGGAGCGAAAGCTCTTGCTGCAGAACCCAGGGATCCTGGGTTCAATCACCGCTCCTGCCCCTTTTTCATCTGGACGAGCATCGTACCAACATGCGGTTGTGTATCACTACCACATCGTTAACGTTAAAGACACCAGGCAAGCAGAGGTATTGTACTGGCTAAATTCTTGTCTACAGCATAGACCAGGGTTGTCGCACCTCAAAGGCAGACCAATCTTGCAGCTGCATAAACACAAACAAAAAATTCATTGTTTTCTGTCGTCTGCATCTCGTTCGTACATGCTCGTGCAAGTGTCTTTCGCAGCATTGCGAAAGCTTCCCCTTGACAACGTCACACAAATTAGTTGACGCCAAGCATAAGTTTACTTGTGTCAGAAGTACAAATGTTTCTTTTTTTTTTTTCCGTTTGCCTCCAGTCCAGGTATGTTTGAGGATGCAATACTGATGGCACACTCAAAATGATTTGGAACTTTTGCATTCCAGTGACGCATCCCGAGTCAGCTTACCTCATGATAAGATGGTCACCAACATTCATCTGAAGGCTGCGGCGATGCGGAATGGCAAACGTATACTGGCAACACTTGTCCGTTATTGCAGTTATGCCCACGAGTTCGAACGCTGTGTAGATGTCCCTACTGAGGACTTGGCCCTGTTAGCAACATACACGGGAAAACAATTTCAGCAGACAGGATCCATTGGATGCACGCAACACAACTTGCAGTTGCACGACCGCTTAATTTCGAGTTTCTAGTTTTGTGCAGGTGCTCTTTCACTATGAAGGCTATGCATTTGTGGGGTCTAGGCATATTCCAAGCATTGGTTGCGCGCACAACGACGTGAACAGCCAGTAAGAGACATTGTGACTTCGCTGATTTTAGACAAGCTTGGAGCCCATAACAGTATACAACGCGGGAGTACCTTCAGCTCCGGTGCGAGCTACATACCTTCGATAACGCTTTAGCGCCTCGTGGACCTTGAGCGTGCCCGCGGAGCCAAAGCATGACGGAAGCCAAGCAGCGGGGCGGGCGTTCGAAAGATGCGCCCTGGGGTGCTATGTTGCGCGACAGAGCAAACGCAGATTGGGTGTTGATTTCGTTTTCTTCTGTCAACATCCAATCTGCGTTTGCTGTATCGTTGACGTCACTTCCCCCTTCCTAGTCTCCTGGGAGTCCAAAAGGCGCAACATAGCACCCCTGCTCCTCTCATCTTGTCTCCAGAATGTGACAAGACGGGCGCTAAGCTTGATATCGGTCCTCCCACGCCAACATTATCGGGCCCACGAACAACTCACCTTTTCGCCGTCTGTAGAACCTTGAGAACCGTGTCCGAGAAGTTCCTTTTTCCATATCTTCAACTCTTGTTCGTATATGTCGTGGACACAGAGCGCGCAGCCGTTGCCGCAGCAATCGCTAGCTTCCGGGGGCTTGGGTTTCCGGAGTAAGTGTTCAACCGAAACGTCCGTGTTTGGAAACACATCGTGACAGACTTTGTCGTGTTCCACTTTGTTCGCAGTCATACAGGTGGCATGGGCAGCATGGGTTTCTCACAATTACGAGTTACGATACGAAGTGAAGAGCAGACGGGCCACGAGCAGACAGCAACGCGAAATAGTTCTCTATCCGAAACTAGGAACGGCCGTGCGAAAATATTTTATGGATCTAGGTTTGCGTAGGGGGCGCAACTAAAGAGGTGATAAAAAAACTTTTTTTTTTGCAGTTTATTTAAAGAGGCGCGAAAAACAAACAACGCCAAGCTGGCCAAGCTTAGAGCCATTAATGATAAAACAGATGCGCCACATGAGCGGTGGCAATCAGTTCATGGAAAGACGTTGGATCATCGACACGCGATGTTTCATCTCAGCTCAGATTAATCTTTTCCGCGAAGCGGCGTGTACGGGCAGTACGGGTCGGTCAGGTCAGAGCCGGTCAGGTGGGTTTGCATTTTTGTACCGTGATACACGCACCGTGATAACGCGCACTGTGATACACGCGTGTCTAAATTTCCCCACAGCGTGAAATTCGTGTAACGAGTGTCGACAAAAGTTGTGGCTATGAAAAGTTGTCCACGAAACGTCCACCAAACGAGTTTCAATGAAACGATAGGGACCCCCAGACGAGTTGTGTGTTCAGCAGAGAAGGGCAGAAAATGAATCCATGTTGAAATAACCCGAGACTGGGGTATTGAGACGTCGTCCTGTCTATTTTCTGTCCCTTCTACGCTTTGTTGCTTCTTCTCTACCCCAGTCTCAGGTTATTTCAACATGGTTAATATTCACCAGCTCGCCTGCACCCTTACGATTTTTTCTAAGAAAATGAATGTTTATTCAAGTCGAAATATACAGCCCCTTCGAACAGAGCAACTTACAAATCACTCGCACAATTTTTCTTGCCAACTTGTAAAACATGACTATCATGACACAGTAACTTTGTTTTAGCTTTGATGGCTACCTTTAAAACGGACTGCCATGCCAAAAGGTATACAGAAACAATATAAAATGTTTAGATAGGAGCAAATCCCAAGCCTCAGAAAATAAAGCAATAGTTAATAACTGCAATAACAAATATCATGACAAGGAAGAAAGATACAAGGATTTCAATCCCATCCTCTTCAAGCCTGTTTGACTGACTTTCATCACAGATCAGTACATCACCAGGAATCGAATTAGCAAGAGTGCCAGTAGGCTTTTGGGTAATGACAGTTCCAAAGTGCCATTCCATTATCGGCAGCTCTGTGGTCTGGACAACCTCGTCCACAGAACTGCCGCTGACATTCACAGAAATATTTGGAGTGTTGACTACCAAGCTTTCCAAAGCCATCACTGCCCTGGGCGACTTGGCAGCACTCAGCATTTGAGGTCCAGGGACAACATGGGTCAGTGGCAATGCATTGTCCGTGTTTAGAAGAGGCACCCTAAGTCCCAAGGACACAGCAGTGAACATCCCATAGGGCTTTACCATTGCAGTCTTCGTCGTCAGCGGTTTGCACCGAAGTGTAGAAGCCCTACTCAGATCAGAAATTCCACCAACAGCCATGGCTGATATCATGGTGTTTGGTGCCACCTCACCGAGGTGCAACGGAAAGCATTCCTTCGTGTGAGGTGATTTGAATGGTTCACACGTGATCACACTTGGACTAGTTGTAGTCATCAGTGGAGATTCCATGGCACAAGATGTTTCAGGAACAGCCTTGTCCAAATCAGGTATCTTCAGTACCATCCCCTCACCTTCTGTTTGTGGAAATTCTGGTGTGCGAGCAGCTGTTTCAGGGATCTCAAGGAGATGAACAACCTCACTAGGTTCAGCAGTCTTTGCCATTTGGTGAAGTTGTGGCACTGAATTTGTTGTTCTAGTAGCCTCAGATGAATCGGAGGACAAACCAGGCTCTGCAACCTTTGGCTGCTTGTGGTCACTTTGTGGCAGTAGAAATTCTGTAGTCTTAGATGGTCTGGGCGCCTCGGACATATCAACCCTCAATATGACCTTTGAGGTTTTTGGCACCAGTAGGTCGTTCTGTGAAAATTCTGGTTCCGAGCTGTGGAGTGCATTGGAGAGGTCAATGGCAATACTGGGCTCCACAGTCCTTGTCTTGGTCTGGTCACTTTGTGGCAATGGCGATTGCGGGGTGTTGAATCTTCCAGCTGCTTCAAACAAATTCACACTGGATTTGATGATGTTGGGCATCATCTCGTTGCATTGTAGCACAGTGTCTGTAGTGCAAGGCATCTTCTGTACATCTATAATGTTTATCATCACATTTCTTTGTAACTGTAAAGGCTCCGTAGTGCAGGGAGTCGCAGGCGTTTTGGACATATCCATCTTCAGATCGTTTTCCATGGTATTTGGAGCTATATGGTCAGCCTCTAGCAGTTGAGATTCAGTGGTGCAGGGTCCCTTGGAAGTCTGAAACATACCAGCAGTCATAGTTGGCTTTGCCATGCCTGGTGCCGTTCGGTTGATTTCTGGCAAGGGGGGCAATACAGTGCAAGCTGTGATGGGGGTCTTGGGCACATGCATGCTGGGTTTCCAGGTTTTGGGCGTGACCTTGGTGACGTCTTTCATGAAACCCTGCGTACTGAGAGGCACCCTTGGTGGCTTCAACACAATGGGTGTGATGATGTCAGGCTTCATTATATTTGCCATCAATGATGTGCATGCACTGGAAGGAACTGTTGCTGTGTCAGGAACAGCATCACCAATCACACAAGGCTTTAAGATCAGTGGTGATGTCTCCTCAGCAGTCAGTGCTTCTGGTTTATGCAAGGTGAGGAGTGCCTCGAGTTGCTGAGGTGTTCCATCAATGGCAAGAGCGGGCTTCATGGTAGCGCGAGTCTCGTGAGCACACTGCAAGAGTGGAGGCTGCACGCCAGAGGAGGTCCTGGGTACCTCTGGCAGCATTTCACGGGCATCTAGGGTAGTGCCAAGTTTCATTAACTTTGGAACAGTGTGTATCTGAGGAAATTCCAAGTGGAAACGTTCCTTGGAGACTTTGGGTGCCTCTAGTGCTTTGGCTTGCACTCGAGCAGCCAGAGGTGGCACGGCTTCTGAGAGGGTCGCCGAGGACGCTCCCAGGAGCGACATTGTGACCAGCTGTGTTCCCCGTTCAACACCTGGCACAGCGGACACAAAGTCGAGTTCTTTCTTCCCGCTGCTTTCAGAAACTAGCTTGAAGGTGCAAAACGGCCAGATGAGCACTTCCTGGTGATGAGTGAAAAACGAGTAGTTACTTATGTCCCTCACCAGTTCTGACGGGATGCCATTTAGAGTTAGGAGCAATTTTCGATGGCCGAACCTGGAGGCCCAATATTGCGACACACTCGCAGAGATGAACTGGGAAAAAGTAACCGAGTCATCCGGGTTTTGGTTGAATACGTCGACCCCACGAAACAAGGTTTTCTGTGAACACGGCGGCAGTTTTTCAAACGCTCTGATGAGAAAAAACCAGAGGCTCTTGTAGGGGAAGGCGTCCCAACTGCTCCGGTTAGCCTCCGCTCGACGACAGCAAGCATTCAAGCTTCGACACACGTTTGGCTTCTTTGCGGTGTAGGAGATGATTGCCAGGTAGCACTCTTTTTCCATCACGTCGCACAAACCAGTCCACGAACACCGTAGGCCGTAGAGCTGTTCTGCCCCTTGCCATGCTTGTCGGTATGACGAATCACTCACGAATTCCACCGCGCGAATGCTGTTGGCCTCGTCAAAACTGAGTTCTCTTGCTCGTTGCAGGTAGTAGCGGATCCCGTCGTGAGCACTGTTCCCGGAGCTGCTATAATTCATCTTCGACCGCCGTCTTTGCAATACTTCACTTCAGCATACGTAACCTAAAGCTGCGGCTAACGAAAACAACGCCGCCCATAGTTTCGCTTTGGAAACGGTGAGCGGAGTCGACTGTCAGCGACGGGCCAAAGAGCACCGGAAGGACCGGAAGGTTCTCTTGTTGATGGAGTTGTCAGAGTTGTGGCGAGCGGGGTTGTAGAGGCGAAGGGGAGAGCCGGGAATCTCTGCGTTGGTAAATTGCGAAACCTACAGCCCGCGAGAGCGAATGAGAGCGACGAAGCCAGAGCACGTGACAACTCGAGGAGCACTGTTACGCTTTTTCACTTGGACGCTCTGATGGGCTCATTTGGGCCTTAGAATCGAGTTGTTTTTTTTTATGTTTAGTAGGGCCGTTACGGTAACATCCCTCACAGAACACATAGCCCTGCGAATATCCTCAGGAGATCGCAATGTCCCATGCACGTCCTACTAGCGTCTATGGGACCATAATGTCTCTCCTCTGGGATGGGGAAACATAACAACTAGGTTTTCGCCGTGGAACTGGAAATGTCAGGCGTCCCAATGAAGCATTCCATGTGCATTAAATCTGGGTAAATGAGCAGCATCGCACTCTTTTACGGATTGCGCCGATACCGTTCAGTTATATAGCAGACGACACCGGGAGCACGGCGCAAGGCCGTGCCGACAGTCGGACGGCGGGCGCTTTGCGTTGCGTAAAGCGAGATTGCGCAGGGGCAGATTTAGAGGGGGGGGGGGGGGGGGGGGGGGTCCGGATGTCCTGACCCCCTCTTGATTTCTGCATGCGTAAAATTTAGGGCGTAAAACGAAGGAGAGTGGGAGGGGGTTCCTAAACATAAGGTACGCTAGACCAAAACCTGACCTCCCAAACCCCTCAAAAAAATCCTGTATCCGCCCCTGAGATTGCGTGAAGCGAGATGATTCGTTAGAATAGCCGCAGTAGAGAGTATTCACTGGACGCCATATTTGAGTGCGATGTTTAGAGCGCATGCTCAGAACGAGCTCACATTGAAATGCTGTTAAAGGGATATATACTTCAACGAAATTTGAAATATTCCCGTCGTGTTCAAAAATAGGTTGAATATGATCCACAATATCCGTAAATGACAATCGCACGTTTGTGTTTTGAGCCTGGTGGCTGTATGTTTCGCTATAAACGGCCCACTCTGGCAAGCGCTCAGAGAAGGCCCAGCGGACACCACGTGACATCCAACGCAGTCGTGACGTAGGTCGTCTCGGGACGAGCAAAGCTACGGCGACGCTGACGTCGAGGAGATGGCCTAGTCGTTCCAGCCACCGAAGCGGCTGCTTTTGTGCGAATTTCGAGTAACGGGTT